CGTCACATCGACACAGTATAGGTCATATCACGATGTTCCAGCTTTACTGGTGGAGGAAGACCTTCGGTGCCCTTCCATGCATTATTTCAGGCACGAACGGGTACCCAAGTAGAACCACCGAAGTTCTGTAAGCTAGCTGGATAGCTTCCTCACATGAAAGAATCCAAAGTCCCTGTCGGGATTCGAACCCACATTGATGAGGGGCAAGTGGTTTGAAGTCAACGACCTTAACCACTCGGCCATGGATGCCCCTGGTGACTGTGTACAAAAATTGTTCAGATTAAGCTGTCCCTTGTTTTCAAATTGTGCTTCTGGAGTGAAAAGAGGCTCCACTTTGACCTATTTCTCAGGTGAGCGATCAAAGGCCCTCTAGGCCCTCTTGTAATATTAGCTGATCCATGATTCCTACAGTCCTCAACATCTCTACTTCATTCAAACCCTGTCTTATCATAGCATTTGCCTTGTGAAGGTGACCAAGGTAAAAGTCTGATCTTTGAATGACCATAAATTTAGAGTACCAGTGTAAATGGAATATAATGTGTCTCTGCATATTCTAAAAACAAATCCCCCCAAAAAACAGGGGCATGCTGTTTGTGATCACTTGGCAAGAAGTACCTAATAAATCTCCATACATCTAGGTCTGATGCCGTTTCAAACTGAATCAGATGATGCAAATCCTTTTTTATACCTCATCAAAGAGTGAGAAATTTTGGTGTTTAGGTTAAGTTGAGAAGAAAAGTAAGATCACTGGTGCATAGATATTTTCACCGGCCCATACAGCTTTTGTTAATTGACTTAAGTTTTAAATCACCTTTGAACAAAGTGATTAGAGGGAAGCTTTTGTGGTGGCAGTGTCTCCATCATTCTTCATCATCATACATAATTTATTTTAATTCTCCTCTGAAACCACCAAATAGGAGAGTTTAACCAAACTTCACAGAAATGATCCCTAGATTGTTACGAAAGTTAAATATATGGTTCAAGTCTGATGCATAAGTAGGTCACAGGAGTGTAAAGGTCAGAAACTACAATGCCAAGAGTTTAGATACTTGGCAAGTTGAATCACTATACGGTCCTCTACAAATGCTGTCTGGGGTAAAATCTTTTCAGGACTAGTATTGAAAACAAAAATGCCAAGATGTTAGATATTTGGTATGAAGCATTGCATAGCACACTTATACAAAAGTTATTTAAGCAAAGCCCTGAGGCTCAGAAATGCCCCTCCTCTGGAGGTCACTTAAGATATTTTCCTCTGAAAGTGTAACGCCAAGAGTTTTGATAGCTTGCATATAGCATCAATGTCATTTGTTGTTCTCTTAAAGTTATATAAATCATGCCCATTGAATCAAAATTAACCCCATCATGGGGGTGACTTAATTTGATTATATTGGCTTGTACAAGGAAATATATTTGGACTTGTAAAGGTACACTGTCTAGAAGTTGGATATTTTGCATATTACATTGACCAGTGAATCTCTACAAGATTTTCATAAGTCATGTCTTTGTAATCAAAACTAGCCCAGCTTAGTTTATATGGATCTGTATTGGAAAATACAAAATGTGCATTCAAATCTTTTTTGGGAAATTACAATGTTGAAAGCTTACAGTTAGCTCTTAGCATTGTAATTTCACAAAAAATGATTTAGCATTGCCTAGTGGATCTCTGCAAGTTATTTTATGATCCCAAGATTTAAATGGCTATACCTCATGGCCACTTAGTTGTACATTAAAATTGTCTTAAAAATCTTCCTTTCCAAAAGTACATTTGCAAGAGGTTCAATATAAGTCTGTTAAACTAAATAAATTGGTTCATAAAAATATTCTGTAAGTGTATTATTTATGTTTCTATTTTACTCAAAACAACATTTCAAGATAAATTCATAATGTAAATATATGTACATGAAAACATTCAGCCAAACAAACATGTAGAACATGATAAAAATCAATTCAAATATAAGCCTTAATAAGTTTAAAAGAAGAACAAAATAATTTATTGTTTAAAACAATACACTGTAAAAATAATTACATAATGCTTTAAAATCCTGGAAAAAAACAGTAAGAAAAAAATCATAATAGTAATTTTAACAAAACATACTTATTTTTGTATTTACATGAAAGCTCAAATGATGAAATTTACTTCTAATCAGAAATTTAGACAAACTGTTTTAGATAAAGGTCATAATTACCTTAACTTTTGAAATAATGAATTAACAACAGCACCGCTAGGCAGAGCATTATATGTACATGTATATGCCTGAAAAGTGTTAGTCTTGAATGAATTTACAACTTCTGTAAAACAGACATCTTTCATAAAGTTTCATTGTACCCATTTATGAAGGAAATACAATGTATACATAAATTAAAGATATTGATACATAAACCCATTAAAATTAAGTATTACCTCCTTTAAAATTCAATCCTCCTTTATAGCTGAAGAACCTTCATATATATACAGTTGCTGTTTCCAAAGCACTACCATCAAGTTGTTATCTTGTAAGTAAGGCTCCCACGTTTACAATTTTCTGTAAACGTTTACACGATTGCTAAGAACCGAAACAATACCGTTTAAACGGTGGTACTTCTATGTACTATACACACCATGTATTTGAGTCGGCAAATGATGACATACTTTCTATTTTTAATACATATACAAATAAATAATGTCCAGGGCTCATCACGATTGTGTCGGCACACATTTTCTGCATTGTGTCCCAATTTCGCTCTTTTGAAAGATCAAAGGAAAATCAACTTTACTAAAAATGTATTATGCCACAAGCGATTATTGCACGGTGATGCTGTTCGGAGGGTTGTAAACACCCATTTTCCATTTTTACTTTGGAATAAACAAATTGGAATTGATAAAAGCCGTGATAACAGGCAATGATTAAGATATTCCGTAAGACAATATGGTCATTTCGATTAAACAGTAAAAGATATTGTAAACGTTTAGGAATGAAAATCGAAACAAATCCGTTTAAACGTTTAACCGTGGGAGCCTTACTTGTTAGTAAAAATGCTATGACAGATGGACAGAAAGACGCCAGGGGTATAACATAATATAAACAAATTTTTTAGGGCATATAATTAATGTATTGGACATGGCTGTTCATTCTATCAAATTTTACAGCTGTAGGTTGATTAATACTTAAGTTGCTCAATAATATTGAGCAAAAACCGTTTTCAGTTTTAAGGTAATAGTGACCTTGACATTTGACCTTGTGACCCAAAAATTAATAGGGGTCTTCTTCTCAATATGGACAATCATCCTATGAAGGTTGAACACTGTGGGCCAAATGGAACTTAAGTTATGCTCCAAAAACCGAATTGCTAAGGGACGGCCGGGCGGATGTCCGTCCGAAATGGAATAAGGGGCCATTTCTTTTGTTTTTTCTTTTGTTTAATAGAGGGCCAATGGCCCCTTACTTATATTGTTACGGAATGAACTCTATTGTTCTCTTTTGTTTTGTTTACAGTTAGATGGCCCTCTATTCCTACTGGGTAGTGCAGACAGACGGACGCCAGGGGGTATAACATAATATATCCGAAATTCTTTCGGGCATATAAAAAAGGGTAAGGGTCATGTTTACTAAACTAATGGTCAAACTCCATAACAAATCTAATGTCAGTAAGCCAAAAATTTTCTCATGCTATTGACTAGACAAGCCCCACCCCTCAACACACACCCTTCTTTGAAGAAGGCATAATTAAATTACAGTATAAAAACAACAACCTGGGTATTTAGATTAGTTTCTACATTCACTATACTCTTTTAAAAAATGTCCTTATTATTTTATGCTTTTCTATGAAACACTGAAAAATATTATTAGTGAAATATAAAAATAAGTCTTATGGCACTGAAAAACAAGAGCTGTCCGTAAGACAGCGCGCTCGACTTTTTTAGTGCTTGCCTATAATACAAAACATTGACAGTTAAGGGCCATAATTCAAATAAAATCTTTGACAGAATTACCTTCTCCTGGACATGTTTGGGAATCATGATTGTAAACAAGTATTCCAACTTTCAAATTAATATCTCAAACAGTTCAGTCAAAAAGTGGACTGGTACTAAAAACTTAACCAAGATTCTAAGTCGATAAAAGGCCTTAATTTTTAAAACAAATCCTTGACAGAGTTACCTTCTCTTGCGTACAGATGGGGGTAATGATGTGAAATAGCATTAAAAGTTTCAAAGCAATATCTCAAAGGGTTAAGGCAATAAGTGGATTTTACCCATATTCAATGTATTTTCTAAGTCAAAAAGGGGCATAATTCTGTCAAAAACCTTGACAGAGTTATGTCCTCTTGTCTGTTGATGAAGGTCGTGATGGTAAACAAGTATGGTCAGTTTCAAAGCAATACCTCCAATGGTTTTGAAATAAAGTGAGGTGGTACAAAAAAAACTTAACCAAGATTCTAAGTCGATAAAAGGCCTTAATTTTTAAAAACAAATCCTTGACAGAGTTACCTTCTCTTGCGTACAGATGGGGGTAATGATGTGAAATAGCATTAAAAGTTTCAAAGCAATATCTCAAAGGGTTAAGGCAATAAGTGGATTTTACCCATATTCAATGTATTTTCTAAGTCAAAAAGGGGCATAATTCTGTCAAAAACCTTGACAGAGTTATGTCCTCTTGTCTGTTGATGAAGGTCGTGATGGTAAACAAGTATGGTCAGTTTCAAAGCAATACCTCCAATGGTTTTGAAATAAAGTGAGGTGGTACAAAAAACTTAACCAAGCTCAATACACTTTCTAAGTCAAAAAAGGGCCATAATTCTGTCAAAAACCTTGACAGAGTTATGTACTCTTGTCTGTAGATGGAGGTTATGATGGTGAACAAGTATGGTAAGTTTCAAAGCCATACTTGTAATACTTCTGAAATAAAGTGGGGTGGTACGAAAAACTTAACCAAGGTGTGACGCCAACGCTAACGCTAACGACGACGCCGACGCCGGGGCTAGTAGGATAGCTCCCCTTTTCATAGAAAAGTCGAGCTAAAAATCACCGGAAGAAAAATTTGATTGTTTTGAGTAAAAGACCATACATATCTTGCTTAAAAGTCCGTTTTTTGTTTTTGTTTTTCATTTTCACTTGCACCTCTTAGTAAGATATATACCATAAAAACAAACAAAATGTCCTTAATATAACAGTTAAATAAATTGTTTACAATTTTCTAATTATCTCTATGATATCTCCTTCATGCATAAAAAAGTTTAACAATTGTCTAGACATAGACCTCATCTCGGCTGTACATTTTATTATCCCGTCACACATTTCTATATGAAATAATCGCATGCCATCTGCTGGTAACCCAGTAAAATTTGTCAACAGTTTTTTCAGAGACCCAACAGTCTGTCGCTGATAAACGTCCATTATCTGTTCTTTTTCTTCAAATTTCACCTGTAGATGGAAATAGAAAAATCTTTTTTTTGTGTCTGAAATCCTTAAAAAAGAAATTGAGTGGTTAAGGTCGCTGACTTCTAACCCCTTGCACATCACTACTTTGGGTCTGAATCCTGGCAGGACTTCAGGTCATTTCATGTAAGGAAGCTCATAATTAATTCTGTCAGCTTACAGAATGTCAGTGGTTCTACTCAGGTGTCTGATAATGACTGATAAAATTCTCTCTGGCTGTTAATTTTGATAGTCGCCATATGACTTTAAAAGAGACAGTTTGAACTCAACTCAGGAAAAAACACAAAAAATGTCCTATTAATTTCTGAAGTCTCCTCCCTGACAAATTCATGTTACATGAAATGGTAGCAGTGCTTTATTCACAAACAAGAGGTGATGATAGCCCTGAAATAGCTCACCTGTATATAGGCCCCCAGGAGGGGCCAATTTCAACCAAGGGGCTTTTATTTGAAGAAACTTGGTAGACACCCATTATAAGATATTTCATGATGAATAGCTCTTTGGGATTTTTAAAAGAAGATTTTTACAGTATTTACTATATACATATAGGGAAAAACAATGATCCCCAGCCGCTGTCCTGGGCCAATTTTCACCCCAGTGCTTTTATTTAAACAAACTTGGTAGACTAGCTGTAGCTCTTATGTTTTTTTTTAAAAGAAGATTTTTAAAAAAATTTACAATATACATAAAGGGCTAAACAATGACCCCTTGGGGCGGGGCCAATTTTGACCCCAGAGTTTTTACTTGAACAAACTTGGTAGACACCCACTAGAAGATGTTTCATGTTCAAGCTCTTTTGCTTTTTTAAAACAAGATTTTTTAAGTTTTTTCTTTCAGTTGCAATGGCAACCAGAGTTCTGCATGGAATTAGATTCTTTGAACAATTTCCAAAGTTGACTATCAAAGGAAAATTCCTGTGAAGTTTGGATGAAATTGGCTTAGTGGTTTATGAGGAGATGTCATTTAAAGTAAAAGTTTACTGCCGGACAAAAAGGGATCACAAAAGCTCACCATATCACTTTGTGACAGGTGAGCTAAAAATTTCTTGCCTGTGAAACATTTTTTCCTTTACTTTCAGAGATGTTTTAATCAAAATATTTTTTTAAGTAATCTCATTTTCCGGACAACAAATCTTTGATACCAGTAAATATTTAAACACTGAAATCAGTTAACTAAGTAACATTAATGAGAAATCAAAGTGCTAAGTAATGGAATTGCTCAGTAGTGTAAACGCTATGCCGAGTAAATGCTAAGTATTGGAATTGCTCAGTAGTGTAAGGGTTATGCGGAGAAAATGCTAAGTACTGAAATTGCTCAGAAGTGTAAACGCTATGCCAAGTAAATGCTAAGTATTGGAATTGCTCAGTAGTGTAAATGTTATGCGGTGTGAATGCTAAGCATTGAAATTGCTCAGTAGTGTAAGCGTTATGCGGAGTAAATGCTAAGTATTGGAGTTGCTCAGTAGTGTAAACGCTATGAAGAGTAAATGCTAAGTATTGGAGTTGCTCAGTAGTGTAAACGCTATGCAGAGGTAATGCTAAGTATTGAAATTGCTAAGAAGTGTAAATGTTTTGTGGAGTTAATACTTATTAGTATTATAATAAAGGATAAGTGAATAAGAAAACCTACCATGAGACTGATATAATCAGCTTTCTCAAACTTCACATTTGCAAGAGGATCCAGTTTTCCATGAATTTTCTCTAATTCAGCAAATCTGAAATGTAAAGTGCAGCATATAATCTAACTTAATTTCACAACACCTATCACAGGTATGATACCAGAAGGACTTATTCCAATGACCAAAAAGCATAGGCAAACAGATAACCACTTCACCAGTGCTCTTTTGCCTTTCATCGGAGTAATGTCATAGCTTTTCTGAATTCAAAAGAATCATTCCATCTCATCAGATACAAATATGAAAGAGGAATTTTGCCTACCTTGCAGGTTTCTGATCAGAATCCATAAAATATCGGATGAAAGCTCTCTCCGCCTCATCCCTCTCTGTTTCTGTAACATTGCTACCATTTAACTGTTTGATATTTGGTAATCGTGCAACAAAATGTTGACGCCTCTGCTTTGGTTCCCAGTCCTGTACATTTGTATTAATAAAAAAAAGTTTATTAGTCAAAACTGATTCTGTAAACATTAAATAAAAAATCTGCAGCTTGGAAGTGCAGTGGAAGGACTTTCTGTGCTCTTTGTCATATAAATTTCTTCATTTATAATGCAATTTTCTTCAGCAAGAAATATCTAAAGTGGTTTGAATTCCTCAATGCTTTGAGGGGCAAATGATTCAAAGGCAGCAAACTAGACCTAATTTTAAAATTCTCCATCACCAATTGTAACATCCCCATATTGTTTGTTTTAAGGTTATCCATAAGAAACATTGATTTCTTTCATGTCTAGAGGCTTTTTAGTTAAGACAAACTTTCAAACAAGTAGATAAACTGGCATGCCATCTTTCTTTTTTTTATGCCCAGACACTTTTGGGAAGTATTATGGTATGGCAATGTCCTTCCATCTTTGCCTGGACAATTGCTTTGTGCTACATTATCTTCTCGAAGATTTTAGTGATTGTGTTTATATTTGTCATGCATATTATGATATCAAAACAAAGGTGAAGCTTGATTTTCTCTGCAATCATTTTATTGTTAATAAGAATTACATGTATGCCCCTTTTTAAGCAATTTTTAAGTGACGTTTCCGCAGCGCAATTTCTTAAGGATTTCAGTGATTCTGTTGATATTTGGCATGCAATTAAGTTATATCAAAACATACGTTACAGTTGTTATCCAATTTTAATTGCAATCAACTAGGTATTGGAGTAGTAATGCCACCCTTCTCATCTAATGTTCTGCGAAATTATTGGATTTCTCAGAATAATTTTTTAAGGATTTCAGTGATTCTGTTTATATTTTGCATGCTAGTAGTGTTTTTAAATATCAAAACAAAGGTCAAGTTGGTTTTCTCTTCAATCAAATAACTGCAACATTAAATGATTTCGTTTAATCAAAATGAAATCAAGTCATAAAGTTAAATTGTCTAACTAATATGTCAATTTGTAACTTACAAAAAAATTAAGACTGTATAATTTTCTTTCACATTTTATGGAAATATTTGCTATCTTTATTTAAGGCACATATTTGTTATTGATGTGTTCTTGAAAATTTGTCCTGTGGTGCATATTACCCTGTCTCAGTGGAGCTCTTGTGTAATAACTTTTTAGCATAACAACTCAATATTGAAAATAAACTTTTAAATTTACCTTCACTAGAGGGATGTCTGTAATCCTTAAATTTATCAACGCAGGAAACTGACAGAATTTATCAACCTCTTCCCAAGATTCCATCTGGCACTGGCTTATATTCAAGTCTGTTAGAGCTGGAAAATTTTTAAAGTCCCCATCCAATGAAAAATTACTTATATTACTATCTATAACATTCAATGTTTGTAGGCATGGAAATGCCACACCTAGTTTAGAAATCTCCGCCCATTTTTCAATCTGGCTGTTGTTCACAAATAGTTTTGTAAGGGACGAATGAACACATTCTGCTGGTAGATTGACTGTCTTGTACTTGTTTAAACTGACATGAAGCTCAGTAAGGCTGAAATAAAAAAAATAAGATTATCACATGTCAATGGGAAATTAAATGGTGGTCTTTATAAAAAGGTTTTCAAGGTAAGATCTTTATTCAGAGGTGGTCTGGCATAAGTAAGTTTGTTTTGTTGTATTTTCAAGTCACAATGAGACTGTTTTAAAGCCATTAAAGTGACTTCCCAGCTTTACAGGTAAAGGAAGACCTCTTTGTTAATTATTTAAGACATATGATATTCTATATTTCTTAAAACTGTCATCGATAGAGACGATATTGATGTAATTAGTTGATATTTTTCTGTAAATCAATAATTGATACACATTTGGAAAACATCGGTTATTGTAATCAATTATTTAAATGCCTATAAAAAATGAAAATTCACTACAAACATATACAAAAAGCAGGTGGCTATGTCTAACAGTAATCTATTGTTACATTATTAAGTGAACACATTTCATAGCAGTAATATCAAAATATGGTCAGAAAAAAAAATCATGCAAGGGTCATTTAGAAATGGGATACAACATATTTGCAAAATGTCACCTCAACAGGGTTATGTGCAGAACCCATGTAACCCTTTTGTCGGCTTTATGTCAAAGTCACACTTAAAGGTCAAAAATTGATTTAGAAAATATTCTTAAATTTTAAAATGTATTTGAATATTTCTGAAACTAGAAAAGGTATTTGCTTGAAACTTAAAATATGTACGAAGTGTCACAATTAAGATATGCAGGGCAAGTTTCATAACTCTGTATTGCATTTTGACAAAGTTATGCTCCTTTTTAAGTCTTCAAATTTACATACAATCAAATATTAGACAATATTTTGTGTCCGCTCTATAATTCCTATACTAATGGAAAGATTTTCTTCAAACTTTACTCAAATGTTTACCTCAACAAGGTTATGTGCAGAACCCATGTTACCTTTGTGTCGGCTTAAGGTCAAGGTCACACTTGAAGGTCAAAAATTGACTTAGAGAAAATGTTCTTAAATTATAACATGTAGTTGAAAATATCTGAAACTAGCACAGGTATTAGCTTGAAACTTAAAAGATATATGAGGTGTCACAAGTAAGATATGCAGGTCAAGTTTCATAACTCTGCATTGCATTTTGACAAAGTTATGCCCCTTTTTAAGTCTTTCAATTTACATACAATCAATACTAGACAATATGTCATGTCTGCTCTATAAATTCTACACTAATGGAAGGATTTTCTTTAAACTTGACTCAAATGTTCACCCCAACTGGGCAATGTGCAGAACCCATCTTACCATTGTGCCGGCTTAAGGTCAAGGCCACACTTGAAGGTCAAAAATTGACTTAGAAAATGTTCTGAAATTTTATCATGTACTTGAATATTTCTAAAACTAGAAAAAAAACAAGAACGTGTTTGTTAAACACAAATGCCCCCGGCTCAGATTCTTGACAGTAGCAATATTTCAAAAAATGTTTACCCATTCACTCAGTTATGGACAGAAAAATTGCCAAAAAATTGTAACACAAGTTATATAGCTTGACAAAGTCATAGCATTTTGTAATTGTGAAAAATATAAGTTGCCAAGTCATTGTTCTGACTTGTGAAGATGAAAAATATTCAACTTCATGCAACTTATCTTCCTACCAAATATGAAATACATCTGTCAATAAATAAAAGCTGTATGGGCAAAAGTGTAAAAATCTATTTTTAGCACAATTGACCTTGACCCACTGATCCCTACCCCAATCAAAATGATGACCATGCAAGTTATCTTCCTACCAAATATAAAATATATCTGTCAGTTAATAAACCCAACTGACCACTAACTCCATCAAAGTTTATGTTTCTATCAATTATAAATAACATCTGTCTATAGAATAAAGTCAATACACCTGTAAAAATGTAAAAATCTATTTTTAACATTGGTGACCTTGACATTGGTGACATTGACCTTGATCCAAATGACCCCTTGCTACACCCAAAGAAGGAGGACCTCCCTTGGCATGTTTGTATTAAACTAAAACAGCAACTAAAATATGGGTGTATGAGCAAAAATGTTTTTTTTTTTTTTTTAAACCAGTGACCTTGACCTTGACCCTAGAGACCGCTTACTCCACAAAAAAGTAGAGGACCATCAAAGGTATCCACCTACTAAATATGAAAGATTATATTAAAGAAATTAAAAGCAATTAGGAGAAATTTAAGATAAATCCAACTTGCCGAAAATAGGTTAACCAGACAAGGCCCTATTTTTCAAAGTGATAAAAAAAGGGGAAATAACTGGGAAATATGGATGACACAGTTATATAACTTGGCAATATCATGTTTCTTTGTATTGATAAGTAAGTGTGGAAATAATAAAGCCCATTAGTAAATAGGTGATAGAACTTAAGAATATTTCCAAACTTGCTGTTTTAGGTTACCATTATTCATTTTAAGTGCTGAAAAGGGCAATAACTTGGTAAATATAGAAAGCCAGAGTTATGTAACTTGCCCAGATCATGTACTTTGTATTGATTAGTAAGTGTGTAAACTTAGAAGCCATTGGTACAGGTAGAACTTAAGAAAAATCCAACTTGCTGTTCTAGGTTAACAGTCTATGCGAAAGTCAATTTTTTTTTCAGGCCACAAGGACCGAGACCCTTAGGTTTATTTCCGGCCCGGATGATATTTTTCCGGCCCAGACATTTCAAGCATTATATTATAATAACTCAGTTGAATGTAAAAATGATCGTCTTTCTTTAAATAAGTGTGACTATCATTAGTGTGACCATCATATAGAAACACAAGAAGATGCTGACCATATGAAATAACTTAAGCAGGGGTTCTTACAAGAATTTTTCAAAGTTAGGAGTCCTGGGACTCCCCAAGCACAAAATGTAGGACTTCCAGATCACTTTGAAATATGTTAAGCCATATTTTGCTGCACTTATGCAGTTGACGATTATGATGTATATGAGCAGAGTAAGGGGTTGGGAGTTGGAGTTTGAACAGAGAAAAGCTTATTTCAGGAAAAATGGTAATATGTCCCAACCTGTACCATAAAAGTGATTAAAAAGTAATTTGAAATATAATTTCAAAAACCCTACATCATCAGACCATTATGCTCTTTTTTTCTTCCAGATTCACTCCACTTCCCCCCCATAAGAAAATATTCATTGTATGTGACAAACATGTTTATACAGGTAATACCTCCATTTCAAACTAAAGTAAACAATATCTTTTAGTAATTTTAATTCCTAAACTACATTTTAAGTGTTATTGACACACATTTTTAACAAAAACATATCTCCTTTTGGTTACCGATTTTTTTAATTATAAAAAGCGGGTATCGCGAAAATATGTGACAATTGAAAATTTGTCTGTTTCCTGCAGAAACATTCACAAATCTAACCTGTTGTTGATTTTGATTATATTAAATTAAATTTTTTTCATTATTTCAAAGATTGTTACTCATCGGCTATTTTCAAACAGGCATCGTAAAACAAAATTTTCAAATTTGTATTTTACGGCAAAATTTACCATTGTTGATGAAACTTTGAAGACAGAGTTGACTGGTTTTTATTTGACATGTCTACAAAATAGACTTAAGGTTGATCAATATCTTCTTTAATAAATTCTTTGCATCACGGGGTACTTGTTATCAATCAGGTCATTAATATTTTTAACTTTTTGAAATTTTATTCGGACATGAGGACTGACGGAAAGGAAATTTATCTCGGACCGCATGATTTTTATTCGGCCAGGACCGAGGACCGACGGACTTTCGCACAGACTGGGTTAACCTCATACGGACAGACGGAAGGACGTTCTAACAGGAGAGTAATAATGTGGCTACTCTATTGTTCTCTCTATTGTTCTTTTTAGCCACACAAAAGAAAATAGCCACATAAAAGCATTACGGAATGAATGACATCAAAGAGAAAGAACAGTTACCTATTGTCCCTCTAGCCACATAATTACTGTCGGACGGACGGACGGTTCAATCACTATATGCCCGGGGGCATAATAATCATTTGAAACTTCAAATATATACGAAGTGTCGTAAGTAAGATACATGTATGCAGGTCAAGTTTTATAACTAAACTAGAAATGTGTCCATAGGACACGGGTGCCCCCACCGCGCCACTGTTCTGTCAATCTTTTTACTAAGTCAAGGGAAATAACTCTACAAATACTGGATAAATCCACAAGCGAAACCCCAGGTGCAAATCTAAATATGCTGAGCAAGCTGCCCATAAGGTTTAATGACTATGTAAAATCCTTTTTTGAGTAACTTGCGACACAAGTTGAAAATTGCAAAAAATTTCTAAGTGAAGGGCAATAACTCTAAAAATACTAAATAAATCACGACGAAAATACCTGGTGCACAACTGCACATGCTGATCAATATTCCTGTAAAGTTACATGACTCTAGGTCAAATACTTTTTGAGTTACGTGCGACACATGTTGAAAATTGCAAAATTTTACTAAGTCAAGGGCAATAACTCCGAAAATACAAAAAATATCCACACGAAAATACCCTGGTGCACAACTACACATGCTGATCAACATTCCTGTTAAGTTTCATGACTGTAGGTCAAATACTTTTTGAGTTACGTGCGACACAAGTTGAAAATTGCAAAATTTTACTAAGTCAAGGGCAATAACTCTGAAAATACTAAAAATATCCACACGAAAATACCCAGGTGCACAACTACACATGCTGATCAACATTCCTGTAAAGTTTCATGACTCTAGGTCAAATACTTTTCGAGTTACATGCGACACAAGTTGAAAATTGCAAAATTTTACTAAGTCAAGGGCAATAACTCTGAAAATACTAAAAATATCCAGACGAAAATACCCAGGTGCACAACTACACATGCTGATCAACATTCCTGTAAAGTTTCATGACTCTAGGTCAAATACTTTTTGAGTTACGTGCGACACAAAAGTGATCGGACTGACGGACGGAAGGACGGACGGAAGGACGGACGGACAGACAGACAGACGGACGGACAAGGGTAAATCTAAATGCCCGCCACTAACGTGGGGGCACAAAAAGTGGGGGAGGATAACTTTGTATTGTATTTTGACAAAGTTAAGTCCATTTTTATGTCTTTAAATTTATTTACTATATTTCTTAAACCAGAACAAATATGCACTTGAAACTATATACATGTACTATATGAAGGGTCACAAGTAAGCTCAGTATGCAAAGTTTTTCCACTCTTAATTACATTTTGACATAATTATCCTATTTTCTTAACTTCACTGCTTTTGTTTGTTCTAGTACATTGGGAAAATGAACGGTTATTTGTAACTGTTTTGAACATGATTTGACAATTATTTATATTTATACCATTACCTATACAATTTGTCTTTTTCACCAGAGATAATTTCTTTTTATGTATATGTTTGTGCCACTAAAGTTATTCCCTTAACCACCTTTCCAAGTCATCTTCTGTCAAGTACATTGGTGGAGGTATGAATCACATTCAGCGATAGTTCTAGTTTAAACAGGTATGAAAAAGTATTATATACAAGAAATTAGGAGTATTGATCGGCATATTGGTGTATCACCTATATTTGTCATCCAATATAGGTATATTGTCAATATAATACTTTGCACTGAATCAATGACAGCTGTAATATTTCTAAAGACAATACTTACTTTGGTAAGGATAACAAAAGTTGAGAGATGGTTTCCCATGACACACATGTCCCATTAAGAACAATATCCCTCATGTTTGGAAACTGTTTCTCGTGCATACTGTGATCCCAGGTGTCATTTAATGGATTCATGGTCAGGTTCAGGAAACATAAATTAGGTATATTTTCTAGTATAAGAAAAACCTGAAAAATGAAGATAAAAAAATAATAATATAGTGATCTCATACTGTTATTCTAAGTCAAATATTTAGATAAATCAGCACTATATAAGATATACTCAGTTACCTGAGAAAACTACTGTTGCCTTCTGTAAGCTAGATGGTTAAATTTACAAGATTATAAACACAAAGGCCCTCAAGGTGTTGAGCTTTTGATCATTACTCTAATCTATATGCATTTCAGATGTAATGTTTAGCATATAAAAAGCAAAGTGTTATATATGAGCTGATTTTACTTAGATAAACCACACATAGCTCCAATTAACCAGATGCTATGGTGGCATAGAAAAATATATATATTTAAACATGTACATTAAATGCAATTAGCTTCAGATCATAGTTATCACATGGACAATATCTAATTGCATAGATATACATGTACCTCTCTCCAATCTGTCATAGCATTTTTGGTAAGGTCTAACTCTGTGACATGTCCACATAATTCTGATATATCCTTGTCATCCCCAGCAGTGCTGATCTGAAGGTCATCTAGAGTTAAACGATGTGGCAGCCCTGGTTTTCCTGCACCTTATCAATTGTAAATTTCATTATTACACAAAAGATTTTTTTTTCAAAATACCTTTGGATCAATTACACATTTTTTGAAAGGCCTTACTATAAATTGAGGCAACAAGACCTATAGCTTGGCAATGGATCCTTCCAAAAACTACACATTTGTCAATACACATTGATGTAAAACATGTTAGAAAAAACAACTATTTTTAGTATCACTGACCTCAACCTTGACATCTACAACCAAAGTAAGAGAACCATCAAAGTTCAGACTGTTTAAAGTTGTTTATGTTGTATTACACAAGTTTATTATTTTAAACACATGGGGGGGGCCATTTACCCTAGTGAATCCTAACTCTACTGAAAGCTTAAAGAACAAGCACTGTTTCTATATTCTAAATATAAAAATATTAAAGGCATCAGTTAATAAATAAGAGCTGTGTGACAAAAGTGTTTAACCTTTTTTTGTGTCAGTGACCTAAGTAACAGTGCACTCCACCCAAAGTAGCTAGAGTACCACCCACTGAAGCCATGGTCTTTTGTTTGTTTGTTTGTTTCATTTTACACCTTTTCCCAAACAGTATTTCAGTTATATAGTCGAGTAGTTTATACTGATTGCACTTCTAAAGATGAAACTCATGGCTTTCATTAGAGCTGTCATTGATTCAGTGCAAAGCATATCAACGATATATTGATATCAGATGACTAAAATCAACGATACACCGATATATCGATAATAACCTATAATTATGTGTCTGTCATTAACTTTCATACCTGTTTAAATTATTTCAGTTAAAAACATGTTCTGTACAGTGTATTGTCCAATGCATTTTTTTTTCCAGACAATATTTTTTGTCACCATTGATATGAAATATTTCCACTATATAACAAAAGCATAACATTAGACATAAATAACTGTTCTGTATATGTTTTGGGTGATTTTTTTATAATTTCTAGTCATTTAATTAATTAGTCAAAAGTATCGATTTTTTTTAAATGTGTATCGATTATTGATCGGCAAAAAAATATCAACGATACATCGATATTGTCTCTATCGATGACAGCTCTAGCTTTCATGTGGTTAATAAGATGAAAGTGTAATATAAAACACATGTATGTTAGAATGTGCAAGAAAAAAATATCTGACATGAGTGTCTGTGTTTCTGAATATCCCTCCCTCGGAGAGCCTCATTACCATTCAAAGGGCTGATATCCCCAGGGCAGACATTTCAATCTAGACTGAAATACATGACAGATATTATCGATATAGACCTACATGTAGTTCAAAACCTTTAAGTTGGCATTAACATTCAGCTATAAAGTATAATTTACCTTTGCCAGCATGCGGTGCTGATTTTGGTACAAACACCTGTATAAAAGTATCATCAGCCTCATCATCATCACCTGTATCATCATATTTCTCATGTATTGCCGCAGCTAACGTTCTCATCTTCTTTACCTGCAACTATACATTGTGCATGTTATACCAATTAATTGATCATACAGTTCACATTGTTGGTCAGGTCTGCCTCTACTTGTAAATTTTTTTATGTTGTCAGACTGTATAACAAAACCCTTAACTAAGTGCTTTATGTGGCTGTGTGATTGAGTGGTTAACACGTCAGAACTAGTTATCAAAGTGTCATGGGTCGTTTTATTAGTTATGTTTATTGTTCATTTTGCCGTGCACTGTTCGTCATTTAGTTGTGGGAAAAGTATTCTTAATGTCCGCGCATGCATTGATTATCGTCTGTCTCCATGGCGTCTGTTATTGTCTGCTATTGTATTGTATTGGATGGTTCCCAAAGTTACGCTTATCAGAAGAAATTCATGGAAACAGCCGAAACAATTCAACTATGTATTTGTGCAATTTTGTGAAATGTTTTTGTATGTCCAATCATGTTGTAAGTTGTATGAAAGAGATTTGAGAGAAAGTTTTACATTGGTTTTTAACATTTCCTTTCTTCCAAATTCCCAAAAACTTTCCTTCTCCACTTCACTTCGTCTTTATTCTCTTACCAGTTAAGATATACAGTTCTTCTTACATTAATTCTATAAGTTTATTTAATAGAATTTTTGGAAATAATTCTTATTTGCATCGTTCAATTGTTGTATTGTTGTATTTTAATTAACTAGTAATATAATCATGTATTTATGTTTTTAGGCTTTTCCTTTATATATATTACAATTAAATTGATGAACCTACGCCAGGAGTTTATCATTCATTATACCCTGTGACAAAAGGATGCTGCATAGGTTCAAACCCCATCAGGGGCAAGATGTTGTTTCCTTGAGCAAGAAACTATATACAATACTTAGTATGGTTGGTTTCACAAACAGATTCAAGAGTGGATTTTTAGAGTGTTTCAATAAGCTTATAGCTTCCAACACAATCAAAATAGAATAATTAAGTATAAACTAAAACCAACTTGCTTGAACCATGCAAAAGTCGGACTATTGCTCAGTTGCTTGTTTATCTATAACTCAGAAATGAAATAACATCTACATGCACCTAGAGACTCAGAGTGTCAATTTAAAATTAATTCCATTAATAAAGGTTTACGTGATTCCCATATAACACACCAGTAAAAATGATGACTAACGTGATGTTGCACTTGCAGTCACAGTTCTGATAAGTTATCTACAATGTGCTAAATCATGACCCAAAGGCAAAGATGACATTAATATCCCTTTAAATAAACATGTCTACGAACGTGTCATTCATTCACCTTTGAATATAACTATATACATTAATTAATCTTATCTTTAAAATACTTTAAACAATCAGATGAACTTTTTAAATCAAATTATAGCTAAAACCTAAACAAGATTCAAGATTTTATTCAAAACCAAGGCATATAATATGCATAAGGTTATGATATATCAACAATATAAAGAACAGTTATTCAAAAGTAATTAACAAAACATATAAACATAAAATTATATAATAAGGAAATAATTTGACTAACACATAACATAAATTTTGACTAGACTTTACTTCAAAAATATAAATTGCGGAAAATTTGAACGGTGAGTATTGTTATTTCTGCTAGTTGTAATATTTACTTTCAGATATGGGTGTTACGCATCTATATATAGATTAGACGACAAGATCTATACCAACATATAGGTGTAAAATAAAAAATAAAAAATTGATACATATATATTTGCTAAATATATACGGAATATTACGTTGTAGTAGCTTTCTGAGGCTTTGTATTTTGCTACGAGCAGCGGTGGAAAATTGATATCTTGCGAGACCGAAGGTCGAGCAAGATATCAATTTTTCAACGATGCTAGTAGAAAAATACATAGTCTCAGAAAGCTACTACAACATAATTTTCCTTTTATTATATACATTTTTGTTTTATTCAGAAAATGAAATGTAGTTGTCAAGAAATAAATTCATGACCGACGGATGAATACGTAATTCTTACAAACTGACCACGCCTTTAATAATTTTGGTTCCCGTTTCCAAATGCAACGTTATACAAAGCTAAGATCGGAACCAACGTCAAAAATAGTCCGGCACTTCCATATATGGTACCGTATTTGTCACTAACATAATACGGAAATTTCTATCCGTTGAAGCGTATTTGCGCTTCAATATTTGCGTGTATTTTAGGGAGAAAATGTATAGGTATATAATAAAGATGTATATATATGTATCAATTTTTTATTTTTTTGCGGGAAATGAAGGTAATTGAATTAAAAGCATGAACAAAAGATTAAAACATGTTTCAAATGAAAAATACTGTATTTTACATGATTTTGAGAGGTAGGATCGAGGGCTGTAGAGTAGGCGTGGGGGTGAGGGGGGTGCGGGGGTAGTGACCAATCAACGCGCCGAACACCTATGTACCAACATTGTTTCCAAGTTGAAAATTAAAATACCAACGTTTAAAATATCAGTATATAAAAAAATTATGTACATTTGTATGCAGTTGGTCTTTTGCGTTAAAAACAGTATTGGTTGCATTATGTAATTCACAAAGAAATTCAACACTGGTTTTATAAATAATGTACATACAGTTTAAATCTATATTCAGAACTCCGTACTTTACGTAAGCGTTTCAAGGGTGCCAACCAGACTGAGAGAGAAGGTCTCGCCCAGTTGAGAGGACAGCTGAGGTCACGCCTGAAGACCCTCACTACGGCAGAGAGAGTGGCCAAAAAGAGGAAGACCAAAGCAAAGAAGAGAGCCGCCTTCATAGCAAATCCTTACAGATTTTCTAGGGGCCTACTAGGAGAGGAAAGATCAGGAAAGATGGAGAGTAGTAAGACAGAAGTGGAGCAGCACCTACGGGATGTACACTCAGACACCAAGAGGCACGACCCTCTAGGCAACTGTGACAGAATTCTTCCTGTTGAAGAACCATCAATTCCACTAGATCTGAAGGAACCAACATTTAAAGAAGTGACAAGTGTTGTTATGAAGGCCCGGTCATGTTCAGCTCCTGGACCGAGTGGCATTTCCTACAAAGTTTATAAGAAGTGCCCCAAGCTTCTGAGACGTCTCTGGCAACTGTTGAAAGTGGTATGGAGGAAGGGAACAGTTCCAGACTGCTGGAAACAAGCCGAAGGTTGCTTTGTGCCCAAGGAGAAACATCAACACCTCAGTCCAAAAGGGAGGAATACCCGGTTTCTCGGGGTGCGCAGCTGCTTCATGAGGCCAGGATCAACCACAAAGATCTCAGTGTCATTTGGTTAGATCTTGCGAACGCCTATGGATCGATCCCACACCAACTGATCTTGGAAGCTCTGCACCACTACCACATCCCGGATCATGCCACAAAACTCATCCAGAGTTACTTCAGCAACATTCACCTGAGGTTCTCTTGTGAACAGTTCACAACAGACTGGATTGAGCTACAGAAAGGCATTGTGACTGGATGTACCATCTCTGTTATACTGTTTGTGATGGGCATGAACATCATCATCAAGGCAGCAGAGGTGGAAATACGACGCAAAGACTAACTATGGTATCCGCCTACCATCCAACCGTGGGTTTATGGACGACATGACCGTCACGACGGAAACTCACATCCAAGCACGATGGGTACTCACGGCACTAGAGGAAACAGCGACATGGGCCCGAATGCAGTTCAAGCCAGCCAAGTCACGAAGCCTGGTGATTAAGAAAGGAAAGGTCACGGAAAGATTCAAGATGACCATACAGGGAGAGGACATCCCATCCCTGTCCAACAATCCAGTCAAGTGCTTGGGAAAGTGGTTCGACACCTCACTATCAGACAAGAGCAGTCAAGCCCGTCTTCAACAACAGGCGGAGGAGGGGTTGAGAAGAATAGACAAGTGCGATCTTCCGGGGAAATTCAAGGCTTGGGTGTACCAACACAATCTACTACCCAGACTCGTTTGGCCAATGATGGTTAACGATATTCCAACCAGTACAGTAGAGAAGCTGGAGCGGACTGTCAGCAAGCACCTAAGAAGATGGTTAGGCCTGCCTCCATCCTTCACCAACATAGGTCTCTACAGCAAGACAGCAAAGCTACAGATGCCCATCAACTCTATTGTAGAGGAATTCAAAGTTGCTAAGACCAGACTTCTGCTAACGCTGAGAGATTCCAAAGACGAGAAGATCAGCGGCGCTGGCATCGAGGTTAGGACTGGGCGAAAGTGGTCAGTGAGTCGTGCGGTGGAGCTTGCAGAGAGCAGTCTCAAGCACCAAGACATTGTGGGTATGACAAACATAGGAAAAGAAGGACTAGGCACCAGGAAGCACCAAAGATGGGAGACTTCAACACAGCAGGAAAGAAGATCCCTAGTACAGACCGAGATCAGGAAAGAAGCAGAGCAGGAAAGAATGTCAAGGGCAGTCCAGCTAGGACCACAGGGAAACTGGACAAGATGGCAGGTTCCAGAAAGGAAATTATCCTGGCAAGAGATCTGGCAGTACGAGCCACTCAGACTGAGTTTCCTGCTTCGTTCTATCTACGACATGCTCCCATCTCCTACCAACCTGTACCAGTGGAAGTTGATTGACGACCCGGCATGTCCATTGTGTGTGGTTCACTAGGATCACTCAAACATGTACTCTCATCATGCCCCACAGCCCTATCTCAGGGGCGCTACAGATGGCGTCATGACCAGGTCCTGTCTGAGGTAGCCCATGTCCTTGAGACCGAAAGGAAGAAAGAGAGACCGAGGCCAAACCAGAACCGCTACATCGGGTTCCTGAAGGAGGGAGAACAAGTACCCAAGTCAGCCCCAGCATCGACCGGAATCCTGAATGAATCCAGGTCATGGGAAATGAAGGCTGACCTAAAGGAACAACTACAGTTCCCCCAGGAAATCGCCCAGACTACCCTCCGGCCAGACATTGTGATATTGTCCAGGAATCCTAAACGAGTGGTGCTGGTTGAGCTGACAGTCCCATGGGAGGAACGCATTGAAGAATCCCACGAGCTCAAGAGGTCCAAGTACGAAGACTTGGCCCAATCCTGCAAGTCCAACGGCTGGAACACTCAGGTCTTCCCGATTGAGGTCGGATGTCGTGGCTTCCCATCACAATCAGTGTGGAGGATGCTCGGAGAATTGGGCATCAAAGGAGCGGCACGAAAGCGCACAGTCCATGCTCTGGGGAGAACAGCCGAAAGAGCGTCCAGTTGGCTATGGATGCTCCGTAGCAAACATGAGTGGCAGCCAAGGTAGACGGGGTAGGGCCTGATCAACCCTACTTGCTCCACCATCCCGAGGGTGTCCCGAGTGTAAATGGAGCGAAACACCTGCAGACGGATGGTAACTCGGCTGATGACGTCTACCTTCAGCAGGACATCTGTTATTCAACTCAATATCTTTGGTCAGTCCTAAAAATCGAAGCAATAAGACATCTTGTATTACACAATTTAACACACCGGTTTAACATGTACACAATGCATATCCATGTTCATTGTTTTGTTTAACGAAACAAAATATTACTTAAATTACACTAATATAAGTAGATCAAGACACTAATCCTAAAGTTCTACATGCAGCATGCAAGCCAACATTGAAGGGGTTCTACATGTACAAAATGTACTTCGCAAAATCCTCATTTTTGGGCTTATGTTCTCATTTTATTATAAAATATGACACGGCTTTAATTACTGTAACAAATAGTATCTGTACTGTTTTAATGTACAATGACGTTACACGCATTCTTCATGATAAAATTGATACACATGTACAATGTATTTCATAGTCAGAAGAATCTTGTTCATCCTCAAAATACATCACTGCCATGGTACCTTCATATCCAAGTTTTTTTTAGTCCCCTACCGGTTTAACCAGAGGGGACTTTAGGTTTATCCTCCGTCCGTCCGCCTGTCCGTCCTTCCGTCCGTCAGTCAGTCAGTCCGTTCACAAAACTGGATTCCGTGATAACGCAAAAGTACTAAAAATATTTTTATTAAACTTGATAAATGGATAGATGGCAGTCTGGAAATTAAGTACGTGATTTTCTTTTCTTCCTATGTTGAAAACTTTTGTTGCTATGGCAACAAATAGGCTTAAAATATGGCAAATATTACAATATTTGTCATTACTCAAAAATAGTGAAAACATTTTTATGAAACTAAAAATATATGTTTCTGATCATCAACCTCATCATTATGTGACAAGGTTTACAACTGTAACTGTAGCAAAAAATGTTTCAGAAATACCCCCTTGAACTTAATATTTTCATGAAAAAAATGATGATTTTTTTTATAACTTCTTTATTTCAAACTCCCACATCATAATAATATGACAAGGGTTATAAATCTAGCGTCCATATTTCTAGAATTATCTCCTCCTTAAACTTTGAATTTTTCTTACTCATTCTTTAACTTTCTTATTTCTCCATGGATTTACTTCAAATTTAAAAAAAGACATTGATTATCAAGACATCCTTCATATGTGATTAGATTTTTAAAACATGGGTTTCCGTGATTTTTTTCATTTCAACTTGAAATTTACTTGAATTGTTCTTTTAATTTTCTTCTTTGTTACTATAAATGTTTTTTTTTTCACTTTTCTTTTTTGTGACTATAAATGGTATCTTCGTTAAACTTGAGATAATTGTTCTTTGTTATACTCACATCATGTATGACAATGTTCATAAGTCTAGCATCTTTATTTTATTATCTATTATTTTGATTATCTATTCTATAAACATAATTAGGGAAGCATTAACATATTACTTAGATACAGACATACATATATGAAGATTTAAGTTTATTCATGTCATTCATTCATTCGTTCATTCATTCATTCATTCATTCATTCATTCATTCATTCATTCATTCATTCATTCATTCATTCATTCATTCAATGACATAATTCAATGACCAATGGTCTTTCAGAATGTTGCTGGGGTTCTAACCGGTAGGGAACTTATGGATTGCCGGCAATACTATGATAATTGCTTGTTTTAGATGGGTGCATTTGGTAACCCTAAAACCACACACCCCTCACACTGTTGGTCCATTTTCGCCAATAACATTTGAGCCGCGACATGACAAAACCAACATAGTGAGTTTGCGACAAGCATTAATCCAGACCAGCCTGCGCATTCGTGCAGTCTGATCAGGATCCATACTGTTCGCTATCAATTTCTCTACTTGTTATAAAGTTGGTAAGCGAACAGCATGGATCCTGATCAGACTGCGCGGATGCGCAGGCTGGTCTGGATCCATGCTGGTCGCAAACCCATTATGTTGGTTTTGTCGTGACGCGAGCTCAATTTTGATCCTTTCATGAATGTGAAGAAGCTATATGAAGCTGCTTACGGAAGGCCATTGTTGTACTGGTGTGATGAATTATATCTTAAATAATGCAAGGAGTTAGGCGGAGGGCGGGGGTGAGGGGCACCTGAGATCTTCCTCATCAGTAAAAGCCGGGAAGTCGCCAGATATTCTTTATTAACAGTGTTGGTATGATGTGAAATTTAGTATTTTATTTACTCTGGCTTTTTTCTTGTCTTACAGTAATTCTTAGAAATCATTGTTTCTATTTGTATTGCACTGATGTTTGTAAATTACAGTTATACAGCATAATTATCAGCACGGTGAGACAGACAGACAGGTTTGATTTAGCATGAGCATGTAGACCGAATCGATGAAATCGATGATTACGAATATGAAATATATGTATACATGTATTTATAGATGACAAATAAACAATGTTGAGCTCAATGTCTCTTTTATTAACACAAATTTCACTTTTTCTAAATGGTTAAATAGCGATAACAATTACAAAACTTTATTAAAATATATTAACTGATGTAAGACGTTGGGCCAGCAACTTAAAGTCTATCAAAGCATAATGGTAAGTGTTAAAAATAAGTTTATATTACAGCTATGTATTGATCTTTGCAAGCAAAATTTATCAATGTTATATCTTTATTGCTTCTTTTTTTAATTGTTTAACTTATAGTTAGCATGAATGCATTTCTACATGTAGGGTATGCACTTTAATGTTTATTTCTTTCCTGAAAATTAAACAGTGAAAATAAAATATAATCTACACTTTCAATCTAGATTTCTCTGCTCTTACACCATTTGATGATGACGTCATCCGTCTTTCAGCTTTTTAACTGCACATTTTGACGAAATTCTATCCTTTACTATATATATGTCACCTTTGATAAAATATTTATGTTGAAGAATGAGAACATAAAGACATGCAATGTTGTGTTGTATTCTAGATAATTGTCTTTCAAGAATGTTATTTTGGTCGCTTTTTCTACCATTCTGAACGGCGGTTTCTCTTCTTCTTTCCCTTGGATCGTCGTTCCGAAGGCTGAACCTTTTCATCATCTTTGCAATACATGAGGAACGCAAACACTATCATCAGCAGCTGAAAGAGGAAATTACACCGTTTAACGTACTTGTTTGTTAAGGATTATGCGATATCAAAACATGCATGCATGTTTTATCATGTGAAACAGCCCTTACTTCCTCATTTTGTAATATCAGTTGCAACTTTTTCGTACCAATTAAACCAAACCAAAATGTACCAGTATGTCTGAATACAGAAAATAAATGTATGCTTCAATCCCCTATTGATATTAAATAAAAATGATGGGTGCTATTTATTCTGTATTTAAATTCATGAGCAATACAAAATCTATGACGAATGTGATTTATTGACCCCGCTATTAAAAAAGACTTTATTCATTTTTTTATTGAACATTAGCAAAATGTTACCGGAAACACTTTAAATTTTGGTTTGACAAAATCTAAAAAAAAAAAAAAAAATATTACCCATGTGTGAATAAATGGGTACTAATATCAAATGGCTTACTGATCTAACAGGAAGTGACGTTGGAGAAAACGATTCAATGCAAGTTAATAAATCTTTGTCATTTAATTGTAATTATGATTGTATTTTACCTGGAAGCCAAGTATTGCTGTGACGCCTAAATAAGTGTAAGTTGTGTTCTCTTCGATCAGAACTCTCCATATCTCGTCAACACATCCCTTAAAAGACAAATTTTATATCATATAAAATAACACATGTCTCTCAGGGTAACAGTGCATATAAACATCCCGAGAACTCAATTAACACCCGAGGCGAACCAATATTTTAATATAATTTTTCCACTACATAATTATAGCATAATTATCAGAATTTATTTTGACCAGGGGAGAGAACTAGAATTTTCTTAAGTCTGTATGGATTACTCGCCCTTGGAGAATATTGCAAACAATTTTTAACCGGAAGTATGATAGATTGAAATTACATCATCATGCGACGTAACATTAGGCACTTTTTTCAATGCACTTTTGTATTAAACCTATGATCGGTGGGTATAAATTAGACTCTTCTTTGTTTGATGAATTATCTTTATTGTCAGAGTAGATCAGTAGAGTATATTTTTATCTTTTGAATATTCAATATTCTAATTTAGATCATGCGGATACTTTGTTGAAATTGTTGTGCTCCGCGTCATGTCCGTTGGTTTGTGCACAATCGAAGTCATTTTTAACTTTTGGTAATTGTTTGCAGCAGGATACGGGAGTTTTCCAATCGGCATTGCCCTCACCAAACCATTCACTGTCTCCTCGCTTAAAGTCTTCATAGTTTTCTAGTCCACAACACTGGAACTGCAATACAAGTGTAACCACCATAATCAATACACAAGGTTAGCTTTTAAAAAAGCTAGTAGCGACTCGGTTCGTAATTTTTTTTCCAGGGGTGCGTTTAAATGTAAAAATGACAGTTCTGTTAGCTGAAGAGACTTCAGCGAACATCAAAATAAAAGTGACATAAAGTTATGGAAGCCAGTTTCACTCAGTTTAACAAAGAGGAATATGAGTATATATGAAGATGCATGTAAACAGATAGAATGAAGTCCCTATGTCTATGCACATTTACTATATGGCCTTTTGACCTTGACCAAATAAATGTTAGATAGGTAGAATTCATAAAGATGTCTCTTTATACGAAGTTAAGTTGTAATATAATATTTAGTATTGGAATGAGTGACAGACACAAGTCCTAAAGTAAACACAAGTTGTCAAATAATTCAGCCAGAAAAGCCGGGATCCTATTAAAAATATAGGGATCCCGGGAATTAACCAGTCTTAGATGCTTTTCAGATAAGCAAGGATCCTATTAAAACATATAGGGATCCCGGGAATTGACCAGTTCAAGAATATAGTTTTCAGAAAAGCCGGGATCGTATTAAAGTATAAAGAGATCCAAGGAATTGGCCAGTTCAAGAATATAGTTTTCAGAAAAGCTGGGATCGCATTAAAACATAAAGGGATCCCGGGATTTGACCAATTCAAGAATGTAGTCTTTGATTTTTCCAATTAATTAGGCATATAAGTATAGTGATTTTTAAGTTTGTTGATAAATAGCTCTAAATATATTTATATCCAAAGTTTAATTAATTTAACGTTCATTACATACAATAAAAAAAACTTAACGTTTAATGGCCTTTCATTACGACAATAATCAACACAAATATAGTTTATAAGTTTTTCCTCTATATCTTATACGATCCCGGATCCCGGCCAGTCCGGGCGTCCCGGATCCCGGCCAGTAAATATATACACTAAATACCGGAAAGGATAAAATGACCGGAAAAAAAGGAAAAAGAAAAAATGCACAGAACCAGGTGTACACTTATGTTAATTAACCAAACGAAAACTTACTACAGAGGAACAGGTGAAATCGCTAAATCAAAAGTCAGTGTTAATATGATTTATTGAAAAGAATTCATGAAAACAAACATTTTTAATCGTCATAATATCTTTGCGCTCAAAACAATACTTGCTGCTTTTTAAATATGGCGTGAAAATTGAAGGTTTTTTGACGCTATGTAAGATTAAATTTGATTGGCTAAATAATTTTGGATCCTAGCCCTGATAGATGAATTTTTATAGAAAGCTGGAAGCCAAGCTTCGATTAAATTTTTGGATGTATTCGGACTTTTAGGTTGTTTCTCAGTAAAATCCTAACGTAATACCGGCTCGCCGTGGCGAGCCGGCAATCAAGCGGACCGTCAGATAACGTTCTGATAGTTGAAGTCAAATCATAAAAAACAACTGACAAAACAACTGACAAAACAAAGGCAATAACATGTGATAGCATGATAAACTCCTTTCAGCTAAAATGTCAGTCATAATATGCCCATTTATGTATAGCTTATTGAGCTGCAAATAAAATGGCACCATTTTCTCGGCATGAAATAATTTCCTTATACCATTTTTTGAGAGTTGCGGAGGGAGAGAAAACTAACATTGGATGTTTAGTTCTATTTGAAAGGTCTCTAGTATCGTCAAATGGCTTTTAAAAGTACATATGCACCTTAAACTGGGTACAGTTCGCTCTAGTGTTAGGTGGTCAGAATTAAAGCTACTCCGGCTTTTTTCCCTTTTATAGAGGATGTTGAATAAGTGTAGATTCAATACTAAATTCATCGATGCAAAAAAGAAAACCTTTCAACATTGACGCGCTTATAATTCAATGCTTGAACACTAATATTTGACGCGCGTTTCTCATCATATTTTAATTACGTATATCACGTACAACGTCAAACAACATGTGTCGAAGCGGCGCAAAAAAAATGTCCTGTTCTGTTTTGTGATTTTAAGTACATATACGTGTAACATAATTATATGAATGTAACGTCTATCAAATCTTGATTGTTCAAACAAGCTTGTTCATGTTTCTTTGAAGCTGTATATAACATCTCTATGTAGTTTCATAAAACTGTACGGGCCACATTCTGCAATTTCCAAGGTCCGCACCATAAAATAGTCCAGGATGATTACTGCGCGGCAAAGGCTGGGCGGACCCTAATTTGGAGAATACAAACGATATATTACGATATAGAAAATTAACGGAAAGAAAAGAAACATACCTCTTGCATAACGAAAGTCCAAGCTAATGATTCCACATTAGTTCCATTTAATCCTTTGTAATTCTTCAACAGGTTCTTGAGGGGCTTTTTCATGGCATCCTTTAGCTATAATAAAAGATAAACATGAGCGAGCAAAATATAGAAAGTTCGAGTCTTCGGTAAACTGTTCTTATAAAAGTCCCATTTAAGGTCAAGGTCAAACATCTACATTTACATATTAGGTAGTAATTTATTTGAAACAAAACTCTAGTATCACGTTCTCTTCAGATTTTTAGATGGTATTGCTCTGTAATTATGCATATAACCTTGAATATTTGAGCCGCGTCATGACAAAACCAACATAATGCGTTTGCGACCAGCATGGATCCAGACCAGCCTGCGCATCCGCGCAGTCTGATCAGGATCCATGCTGTTCGCTTACAAACCCTATTACAAGTAGAGAAACTGATAGCGACCAGCATGAAACCTGATCAGATTGCGCGGATGCGCAGGCTGGTCTGGATCAATGCTGGTCGCAAACGCATTACGTTGGTTTTGTCATGATGCGGCTCATTTATATCGGCTTGTAATACGCACCACAGCCGTGTAGCCAAACAGGAAGACAACAAAGACAATCTGACCGAGGACCAACACGAGTAGAATCACAGCATACTGAAAATAATGAAAAGTATAACGTGTACAATAAAGGTTTAAACAGATTACAACAACAACAACAACAACAACAAAAGAACAAAAATTAACAACAACAAAAATAAAACTCTTTTATGATGTTAAATTCACATATCGTCGGATTTTGTTTATTATATTTCATGTATTTAGCACTAATATGGCGAATTCTACTTTGCACAAATTTGGCAATCAAAGGCATTCTAAATGTGATAATGTATTTATTGTGTCACATATAGAATTGCAAAATTTATCGGACGGTACTTTTCAATAATGCTTTCACTTCTCCTGGGAACGTCTTTAAATGGCACTAAATAACAGAACAGAACAGAATTTTATTTTGGATTTGGACATAGTACATCATCACTGCAATATAAATATACAAAATGTAAAGATGTCACGTTTCTATTTAACAAATAATAAAGGATTAAATATATAGTATTCAATTTCATGTAAAGCTGGAGAATGAACATTAATGGATTAAGGGAATATTATTATCACTTATAGAACAATTTGCTAAGCAGAGTATAAGCATATTTGATACAACAAATCAATTGAAGTTTGAGTATAAATTTTAACAAAATATCAAAATTCAGTTGTTAGAACTAATAAAAATGTTCCAGATTTTAATCGATTCTCTCAAATATTTAGCTAGATTAGTAAGTATAGTTTTGTTTTTAGAAGAAATCAGTTCAATAAATTTACACATTGATGGTCTTTTGTAATAATATCGTTTCACATATTGTTTCCTTATGTCAACATAGGACCACTTAAGCCTGCCGTACTTATATATAACACAGTGAAAAAGTATAAGTATATAAAATATATCTTACTAATATAAGCATGCATTTGATGTTACAGCAGGCCCCACATGATCCGAGGAAGGAAATGACAAGTAGAACAACGCCCATCACGATGAGCAATGTGGCTACGGTACCAAATATCTCTCCTAAATCAAAGTTGTCCACCGAGAAGTCTGAAAGAACAAACCACAACATCTGCGTTATTTGTAAAATGAATATACATGTAAATGTTACAACAGTGATATTATTTTAACATGTAACCGTCTTTTTTAAATATCTATAATTTAGCTGCCACTGATTGATACTTCCTTATAGCATTGGGTAGCCGATATTGTCATAGTGAATGGACTAGTCTACTCCAGGTAATTTGAAAGACAGGTATAGGCTCCCAAACGGTACAGTAACCATGTGAAGCAGATGTTTGTAATGTCAAGACATGGCATACACTAGCAAGAAAAGATGAAGTGATTTATTCACTGTATATATTTTAAGTTTGAATTGTGCGTTATTTAGAAAAAAAAGAACTTGAATAAGAAAATATACCATTCATTCCAAAGCATATGTGGATGCAAGAAATAAACTTAAAATATTAAAGACTCGATAATTCATTGGACGGCAGTAGTTTTATTACTTCTTTTAACGTCATCCCCCCAGCACCGGCTTACCACTGCGTTGGAAAAACCAAGGCCACTTACCATTTTCATCAAATGCCCCCTGCGCACTTTCCTGAATCTTTTTAAGTACTGGGTCAGTGTACTTGTTGAGAGTATCGCCGCCAAATTTCACAATGCACCCGACAGTTATTAGTGACAAAGACACCATCTAAGACCATTAAAATGGGGAAAAAAAAAACATAGTTACATGTTATATAATACTGCAAGTTTGTAATATTGATTTTTATTGGGTAATCATGCTTTTTATTTTATTTAAAACCACAGATGACGTAGGTTGATTTTTTACTTTCTTGTTAAATAAAGCAATATTGCATAATAATAAATTTTAACAGGTTTCCTATAGTTACGATCGTGTGTAAAACTGTTTGCTATATAACCATTGCCTTACGGTTCGGGTTATATAAGATATATACTTTCAATTGTTTATACTTCTGTAAAAACGGCTTAACCAAAGTTATTTTGAACAATTTAATACAAACAATTCAGAAATAATTGTTTCAAACGCAACCAATATTTATCTGCTATAGCTAGGTAATGACTTATGACTAGTAAACAACAAGGCAATACAATTTCAGGGGCGTCCGTGGCCGAGTGGTTATGGTCGTTGACTTCAAACCCTCTGTGGGTTCGAATCCCGACAGGGACTTTGGATTCTTTCATGTGAGGAAGCTATCCAGCTAGCTTACGGAACGTCGGTGGTTCTACTCAGGTACCCGTTCGTGCCTGAAATATGCACGGAAAAGCACCTGAGGTCTTCCTGCACCAGTAAAGCTGGAACGTCGCGATATGACCTATTCTGTGTCGATGTGACGTAAAACTCAAAACAAACAAACAAACAATACAATTTCAAATGATTAAATGTTCTTTTTTAAGGTAATTCCACTCTTGCAAATGAAACAAACGGACTTTTTTTGAAAAATTCAGTCCATCGTTTTTATAAAACGATTTTATCTACCTTAGTGTTTGAAACAATTCTTTAGTATTTCAAATGAATCGTTACATTTTTTTTTCTTTTGTAAAATGGCCAGGCTATTAATCAGTGTATGATAAACAATAGTTTTTAATAATAATAATAATAATAATAATAATAATAATAATAATAATAATAATAATAATAATAATAATAATAATAACAGTAATAAACAGTCACATCTACACTGTATGACTTGAGAATTAAACTTATAGAATTCTGTTTTATCTTAACCATACAACTTAACGTTACAATTTCGGGTGTGTATTGTTTGGTTTTATTAACCTGTCAATTACATACTGATTACACGGTCGATGCACACAGTATATTAATCTTCGGTAGATGTTCGGTAAGTTCCGTGAGATGTACGCTGTACGATGGAATTTAATTTAATTTGTATCTCTAAACTAAGTGTACACAGCGTTATAACGCAATAGTGTAAATCACGAGTTTATAATCCAAGTGCCTCACGTGTTTTAAGTTCATGTTTTTTTCTTATTAATACTTTCAACATTATTGAATCTATATATGAATATTTTATGTTGTTCATTTTTTTATTATGTTTTACTTAATTTTGTTATGTATATTCTCTTTTTAAATAACATGTTTTTTAAGAATTCATGTTTAAAATTAAAACGGATTAAAATTATTAAATGTCTTGTCAATGCCGTAAAACACTACAAATCTGTTCCATTAAAATATACTGCAACAATAAAGAAAGAGTACTAAAACAAAGGCAACAGTAAGGATCGAACCACAGGCATTCTCTTTACCGACTGTCCTATTGTGGATTAACGAAAACCTTCGGCTTGACTTTCAATTCATGACTAATATATTCCACATTAATTCTCGTAAACTACACGGACAAAATCGAAGTGGGATCGAATATTTAAATGAGTCCTATGATGTATTCATTATTGACAGGTCAATAAAATCAGACTATAAGAACAATGCATTATAAGAAAATTGAAATTTTATAAACATTTAGTGATTTTATGCACGTTCATATTTTCTACATACTAATTTAGAAATTTATGTGTATCAAATTTTCTTTTCAAAATGCCACCTGAAGGTACATTGTTAGTTCCTTCAAACTTTACTTAGATTTTCACCGCTCTTAAAATCTAAGAAAGCAATTACTGCATTTTGAGACAATAGGTAATTTACCTAAATATGCAGTTTTACTATTAACCAGTTAATAATGATGCTTTTAACCAGTTAAAAAGGAGGTTATTTACTAGTTGAATAGGAGGTTAGTAACCAGTTAAAAAGGAGGTTAGTTACCAGTTAAAAAGGAGATTATCAACCAGTTAAAAAGGAGATTATCAACCAGTTAAAAAGGAGAGATCACGAAAATTTTACTTACCACTAGAACAAGGTTTATTATAACCAACAGAAATCGTCCAATCCCATGAATAAAACCCATTTTCTGAAGTGGTCGTGTTACCTATGTAAAATAATAATGATATTAGATTAAAAACTTTTTATTGAGTCTAATCAGAGATTGAATAATTCATGATATAGATAAACTGTGTCAAGTATAGACTGCTTTGTAATTTTTTCAAAAAAAAAAGTAAAACAGGTAAAATGCAGGACAACTTTTTCTTTCATCTTTATGTTTCTTTGGAAAGTTGTGTAATTTCAAATTAATGGAAATTATATAATAAATATGACGACTAATTATAATAAATTTCACTGAACATATTTATTTTCATGTGAATTTTCATTATATTATACTTTAAATAAACCGCCTGAAGGATAATTATGAATATTCCTTCTTTTTGCGACGGAAAAAAAGATTGGACATTAAACTTACAAGTGTAGAATTTATATCCAATATATTCTAAAACAATAACGCCAGTCAATGTCTTTTCCAATAAAAATTTAATTAAAATTTCACAATTTTATCAGATAATTAAATGGCTGATTAAATATTAAAGTATCAAAATCAAAGCTCGCTTTAAACCTCCAACAGTTATTGCCAAACGAGTGTAGAAGGAAGTCTTGAATAAAAATATCGGTTAAGACATATCCTTTTTAAAGATGAGAGATTTATTTCCATCAAAACAATTTTAGAACAATGGTGGCATTGCATGCTATATAATTATGATCAATATGTTGGTGAACAAAAAGAATGGTTTTATTTTACCATAATCAGATAAGATGTATTGAAATAGCAGTCGGTATCTATCAATTCATTTGTAAATCTGTGCTTTGTTATTTTTTTCCTTTTATGTCCCCTTATTATAACGCCGGCATTGTGAAATCGTAAATGATATATATAGCTTTAATTAAACCATATATTTATCAAAACAAATGTTACACATCTTAGTTGAGGGAAACTTCAGGCATAGAAATTTAAATTATTCTATTTAATGAACCTTTTAACTTATGACAGATAATGAAAATGAAATGCATCTAGATGGTCATGGTGATAAATGCGCCTGCCCCTCAGGTTTGAGCGATAAGTTGCGGACCAGTAAGGCACGCTGACGAGAGTTGAAGAGAAAGCCAGTTACATTTATATAACATCAATGCAAATGACAAACCAAACGAAACGTTGAAATTTCAAATAAATTGCATTATGTAAAAGACAAGATGATAACAAAGGGAAAAAATGAAAAGGGAAACTGAGTGCAAAAAGGCATCCGAATTTTGTTATTTTTAAGTTTTAAAATTTTTCATGACCGTTCCTAATCAGTCTCGGTTTAATATCCCTCAAATTAGAGTCTATTTATCAGAGTCTCGATTTGATATGCCGTTAATTAGAGTCTCGATTTGAGTTTTACCGCTAATCAGTCTCGATTTGAGTTTTACCGCTAATCAGTCTCGATTTGATTTCTACCGCTAATCAGAGCCTCGATTTGATTTCCCGCTAATCCGAGTGTCGCTTTGATTCGCGTTCATCCCTGTAGACTTTTTGCGTTAATTTGCATTTCAAAACACCGAGGCATGAAAAAAATAATATCTTTTTTCAAGATATCTTTTGTCTGTGAACGGATACGGATACGCGTTTGTTTATATTGTAACCAATACAAAATATCAGATCGTGACATGTTTCATTTTAAAAATACAATAAAATTAAATTATATCTATCATTTAATCTATCATACATTGTTTAACGTCATATTAAACAACGATCGGCTTCCTGGAATTTGTACATGTAAAGGGATCAAGGGTCAAATTTGACATTAACGAGCTCTGGTCATAAATTTACGTAAATTCTGATATATACATGTGTTTATATAAATTATATAAAAAAAATCAAGCCACGTTGGTCGTAATTTGGTATATTGTTTAACTTGCATAGGTTATAGTTGATAAATAAATCCCTTAAAGCTGCATGCCTCCCGATGAGCCAATAAATAAATAGATAGATAGATAAATAAATAAATAAATAAATAAATAAATAAATAAATTTGAGGTGAATATACGTTATAGGCTTTTTTGAAAATTAAAAATTATAACAATGAATCATAGAGATAAATACCTCTTGTTTTGGTAATTTACGTGGATTGCAAGTGATGTTTACAATGTGCCAATCATTTTTTGCTCACTTCACAATACATTTATTTTACTTTTGATTATATTTTAAAATTTTTCACGAAAGTTAGCATGGATCTAACAGGTCAGAATGATTTGCAGAAAATGTCCTCTACAAAAACGTAAAAATTAAATTACATATACATTAAGTATTGACCGAATATAGACAATAGATCTACCATCTAGCACAGAGCTATGTATAATCTGTATTTAGTTTGATAAAAAGACAACGTATAAAGTATAACATTGTTACGTAAATTAAGCCCCCGACGTGTACAGGGGTCCTTTAACAAGTAAACTGTGCATATATTTATACTTTTTATTTTTTTAATGCTGATATATAACAGATTATACTTGAAAATATCTTTAGATATTTTTAAAGCGAGAGTTACGTTAATAAATTTAACATTAATTTATTGTTTTAGAGTTAAATAACACTCTAGACAAACAATTATTACATATAAGTAATAGATTGCTCTGCGAGTTCGGTATTTCTATACTTTATCTAAGAATGCCCCGGCTAGATTAAATAGCCAGCTAAGCATTCCAGCATAGCATTTTTACGCTATATTTTGGAATGCCCGCTAGATTGCTCTTTTAGCTAACATTCCAGTAGAGCATTTTTACTCTATATTAAGGAATGGCACGCTTGATTGCTCAGCCAGCTGAGCATTCAAACAGAACATTGATTTCCCTATATAAATTGTAATGCCTTTTTGCTAAGCTCACTGTTCACTGCTAACTTCTCACATACAAAATAGATATCAAACTTGAGAATAATGCACGGTTGGAGTTCAAATGCGTAGGAATATAATCTCGAGGGCTGATAGGTCAGAGTGATTAATTACAAAGCATTTGATTCATAAATCATGCATCATTATACCATGATTCACAAAAAATGATATCTTTTTTTTTATTTAAACATCTTAATAAAAACGAGAATTGATAAAAATATGTTGACGTGGGAGTAATTTTCCTGGCGTCATCTGGTTTATTGACGTCATACATGACGTGTTTTAATGCTGTGCACATATCGTGTAGTAAGGCACTTGATCGCTCGATCTGTTTTATAGGGGAATATTGTGAAGTCTGTTAGAGTGAATGTTTTAATTGTATTATAAATACATGAAGATACGATTAGTAGGCATTTTTCTGGTAAATCGCCATTTTCATGCACTATATATGTGCATGAATTAAATGGCGAATTCTTGTAATAAACTTGTTATTTATGGTGAGGACTTTTGGTCAAACCACAAAAAAACGCAAACATTCACATGGGTTTGCCACCCTAATATTGTCAGCGTTCAGTGGGTACATCTGAATACTAGTCATTAAACAATATTTGTTTTAAATCCATCAACATATTTTAAATTTGTTATTCCTTTTGAATAATAATAATCTTGTTACATACAGTGTAAATTTAGAACATATTTACGGTCCCTCTTGTAGATATTATATTACGGAAAAGACTTTAAATGTTCATCATTATGATCAAATAATATATCTAAAGATTTTTCATTATGTTATAAGGATAATGGGCGTAAATTGAGACAATGGACAAATATCGATCTAGACTGATATTATGTTTTTGATTTGGAACATAAGCCAAAATTTAGTCACGAAATGATTTGATAAATTGCAAACGGTAAATTTTTATATTTCAAAATTACTTCAGAATCAAATTGTGGAAATATTAGGTAAGTGTTTTTTATTATATATATATTTTTAATTGTTTTATCATAGTCCATTTTCAAATGTTTTACATATAAAACATAGTGGTTGATGTGTATTTTGATAAAAATTAAAGGTAAATTGAATTAAGATTTTTTAAAAAAATCCTCTTGATACGAGAATGCAATACAGATAATCTTGCTTTCAATCTGTGTTTTACTCGTATAGGGAACAATATAAAAAAAAAACAAAAATAAAAAACAAAAAAAACCCTCCCCCACTTTATATTTTAAATAGACGTGTCCATCATTCAATCAAGACAAAACGTGTATCATCTCATGAAACATTTTAAAGGCACAATATGCCTCAGTAAACAATATTTTTAAATTCTTTAGAAATATATCAAACATTTGTTCAATAGTATTAAAATAATGGATTTAGGGCATGTTAGATGTTCAACAACTGAAGACAGCAGCACGGAACGTGAGTAATGTGTCATAAAGGAAGCAAAATATGAGCAAAGTAGTATTCTGACTTCCGTACAAAATACTTAATCATTATAATTATACCAATTACCAACAGAGCTGTATTTTCAAAAAATAGTCCATGGATATGGCAAAGAGTATAACTTTTTATTACATGCTTTTTGGTGGTTTATAGAAACATATCAGTGATATAAAACTGGTAAATTGACTGTTTGAAACAGTGAAATTACCACTTTAAGCCCCTTACGTTGTTTCAGTGAAATACCAGCGTGCACAGTACAGGCCCGGCTTTCAATAACGTTCTCAAAGTCAAAATCTCAGCTCAAATCTAAGATTTTTCTCAAATCAGAAATTGAGATTGAGATTTTTCTCAGTTTGGCTTTCACTAAAAAATATTGAGAAAAATCTCAACTTAAGATTTGAGATTTTTCTCAGATATATTGAGACAAGGATTGGCTGTCTCAGATTATGTCTCAGTGAAACTAAATTATTATTCTCAGGGGTATTTTTACTTTTTGCATGGTTATTTTGATAAATAAACATAATTTGACATTTTTGGCAATTAAGTTCCTATTATTTTCATATATTTAGTAATATATATTGACTGATTATTGCTCTAATTATGACGTCATGAAATTATGACGTCACAATAATCATACTAAAAATGATTTATTGAATTTTGTTTGTTTTCTTTGATGTACATTCATTCTTGATAACTTATTTTCATTACCATTCAAATTTTCACACATTTGCAATTGCTTCTTGGTGCTTTTGTTATTATTTGTTGTTGTTGTTGTTTTTTTAAATAAAACAAGAAAATATAGATAAATCTACTTTATGTAATAGATATACAAATATTTCCCTGTTGCGTCATCTTACATCAAAACGGCAACTATATACATGATATACTTCGTAAAATAGAAGCTTGATCATCAACAATGCACACTAAGATAGCCGCTTATGTCTTGAGAAAAAAAGCAGTCTCAGTTGAGAAAATTCTCAAATGTTGAGAAAAGGTTTAGTGAAAGCCAACTTGCGATTTTTCTCAGGTGAGTAAGAATCTCAGTTAATATCGAGACAATCTTAAGTTGAGATTTATCTCAGTTTGAGAACGTTAGTGAAAGCCGGGCCTGGGTACCAACTTAATGACGTGACGTCGTAAATGACGTCACGTTGTATTATTATTTGGCGCGCTTTTCATTCAGTATTAGGTTAAATGTCTTTTTAAAACGTTTCTTTGCATGTAATTAAAAGAAAATTTGTTTAGTTTAGTGTAAGATTAAGAGGATATTTTTCCGTTTGCGTGAAATATGGAATATATTTTCACGAAACATGATAAAGTGCTACATATTTTCACGAACCGGTACGGCGAGTGAAACTATATGGCATTTTATTATGTTGAGTGAAAATATATACCATATTTCACGAAAAACGAAAAAATAACCTTTTTATTTAATTTCGTTATCAAAGAAAATGGTAACGAATCCCCTTGTTTGCTACCAACTGCAATTATACAGCGCGCAGTAATTTATGCGTAAGCACGCGCTGTTTGGCGCTACATTGTGACGTCATGTAAAGAACTCTTTAAACGTCTGTACAGCGTTAATTACTGAATTAAAGATATTGGTGTTCGGATTAATTTTCTTAGTTAGACCATTTTCTATCATGCTAGATATTTTTTAAAACAAAATTCAAGAAAAAGTTGTTTTGTATTTATCAGGTTTTTTAAACAAAACGGCGAAAGAAGTCCCTTTAAATAAATATGAGTTTTGACTCCGTCCCATTTCATATTTATATTTCATATTTATTTTTTAAAAAATATGAAATATATTTGACTGATATAGCACCATATTTCATGGGTAAAATCAAATAATGAAATATATTTCACCTTGTGAACACCAAAAGTTCATATTTCAATATTCCTTTTGGTGCTCACTCGGTGAAATATATAGAGGATATTAGTTTAGTTCAGTGTAAGATCGGAATATATTTCACCGAGTGAGCACCAAAATGTATATTTCACGAGTGGCGCAAATATGAGCCGCGCCATGACAAAACCAACATAGTGCGTTTGCGACCAGCATGGATCCAGACCAGCCTGTGCATCAGCGCAGTCTGATCAGGATCCATGCTGTTCGCTTACAAACTCTTTAACAAGTAGAGAAACTGATAGCGAACAGCATGGTTCCTGATCAGACTGTGCGGATGCGCAGGAAGGTCTGGATCGATGGGGGGTCGCAAAACCCATTATGTTGGTTTTGTCATGGCGAAGCTCAATTATATGAATTCATTATAAAACTTTTCAAGGGTTTAACGGCCGTGTGTAAAGGATCGTATGCTATAAAACAGTTTATACTGGGTCACATGAGCTCCCAATCGATTTAAACCTTTTTATTACGTTTTATTCAAACTTTCAGGTCATACTGAGCAACCAGGATGGGGCTTCTTACATTCGCGGGAAGAATTGTTCTTGTTGTCCTAAATATTATCTTTATTGTAAGTTATTCCATTCTTAATTTTTTCCGACCGTTTGTCACGTGATAAAGCTAAAGTAAAGCACGTTACAACTTCCTATCTTACTATAACACCTACCTAGAGAGGACTTTTATATAAAAAGTTTGTTTTTTGCAAAATAGCACATTACTGATAGAAATTATATTATTAAAATATTTAACATAAAACATTTTATTAAAGACGTTATAAATAAAAGTAAATGCACGTTCATTTGACAAATGTAAACAATCAAAACATACTGTACGTCAGTGGTTCTGCAAAGGTCACCGCTCCTGTATGGGGACTTGAACAAAGAAAGCTTTTATCATTTGGCAAATTTGAAGTCAGATAGGATATGGCTTATAGTATGTTGAAAAGAAAAACAGAAAAAAAAACATTGCTGTGGCACAAGTACTGGTCAGTTCTAGGAAGCGGATGCGGAAATTGTTAAAATATTAAACTGTCATCTAATTCGAGCTAAAATAGATAGATTGAAACAATTCTTATGGACTAGCATTTAAAGTGATGACACTATGTATTTTTAGAATTTCATCTACTGCATTGCAATATAGATGCAACGTATAAAAAACACAGCACTACGCTCAACTGAACTATATTTATTTGAGCTTGTCATGACAAAACAAACACAACGGGTTTGTGACTAGCATGGATCCAGACCAGCCTGCGCATCCGTGCATTCTGATCAGGATCCATGCTGTTCGCTTACAAACTCTATAACAAGTAGAGAAAACTGATAGCGATGGTCTGGATCCATGCTTGTCGCAAACCCACTATGTTGGTTTTGTCATGACGCGGCTCATTTTACTAAATGGTCATGTTTTCTTATATCAAATCACAGCTTTTATCACTGACACTTGTCATTGGCGGATTTATTCTCCGATTCGCCCATGAAACTTTACGACCAATTGTAAAGGATGTTCTTGATAAAATCAATGATGCCTCGGATGATGTCTACAGCAGTAAGTTTACTCTCTATCACTTTATATTTTATATTCAAATAAAGAAACTTGAGGTTTACTTCAGAAGCCATTTTATTCACAGATATTTATACAGTATTGTGAATATTTTCTATTCAAGTTATATGTTAATCGAACTTGCTAATGGAATCTTTGGAATTTTAAACTATTATAAGATAATGAGCCGGGCAGACGAAGATCCATCTGTCCTACAAAATAATTCTGCCGACCTTTGAAAATGTCAAAATGTGTCTCTCATTGAAACATCTTTGATACAATTCATTCAAAAAACTCTTTTTCTTTGCAGCCAATATTAACACAGACGCGTTTGAACTTGGAAGTGTCGTCAGTGACATTGCTACAGTAATGATAGTTTTAGGACTTGCTCTTCTCGTTCTGTCTTTTGTCGGCTGCTGCGGTGCATGCTGCAATTTCACAACAATCATGCTGGTGGTAAGGTCATATACTTGTATTAGCGAGAGTATTTTTTGTACTTTGTCTTGAAAATTTGATGTTTGATGGTGAAAATATGAAATTTCTTCAAACAATAACTCCTATATACAAATGTATTCGTTCATTATTTTGAGTTTATGACGAATATTTCATATGTAAGTTTCGAGATGATAGATCTACTACAAAAATGAGTGAAAACAATGGCCCAGTTGTTCAAAACTTTTGTCAACTTTAACAACAAATTAACTAAACAGTTGTTAAATTTTAATATTTTCGTTAGCTAACAAAATGCCAAAATTTGAGTTGTTCAGAGCTGTGTTATTTTTTTTGTTAGTTAACAAGGCGTTAAAGTGCTTAACATTTTGTTAACTAATTAACAAGAAAAATTAATCCCACAATGCAGTACAGTATGTTTCTTTCCTCCACAAAAAACAAAATGGCCGATAACTGTCCACATCAATAAGAAATTCTTAGAAAATCAGCTGATGTACATTGTCTGCAAAATACAGCTGAGTCATAGACTAATAAAAAATGAAAACTCATGTAATATGATTTTTTTTTGGCTGTTTGGTCATGAACATACTGTAACAAGAACCCCAGTATGTCATATCTACATGAAACTATGAATAGCTACCTTGACTGACTTGAGAGAGATTTATTTCATAGTGTACATTTTATACACAGGAAGACATATTTAAAGTTATTTTACCTTCATATTCTTTGTGTAATGCCAGTACTATATATATCCTGGTTACTTTGTGATTTCTGTGCATATTAGTTTACATGAACACTGTTGTACAGCGTCCACCGGATATAGCCCCTCAAAACTCCGAAAACGAAAGTAAAACGGTTTACGTCGAGTTCACCCAAGGTAATGTTTCAACTTAATTCTTCATCATAACTTCATCGATTTTTCCAAACTAAACAATTTTGTGAAGCTAAATATGTCAGATTTTAGGGCAGTATTTGCTTTTTTCTGCAAATTGAATACTTTTTGTTAAATCGGCGATAAATTGTGCCGTTTTTGTTGACATTTGCGAACGATGTTGATATTGACCTGTTAATTGGATCCAAGAGGCATTTGTTGTACCAAAATCCGTATTTAATATACAATATAGACTTCCTTCTACTTGTATTCAAGTGGTCATCCATCAACTGGGGCTGCTTTCATCAAAATTTGCGAAAAACGGTCTTTCCTTGTGTACAGAGTCTAGCAAGAAATACAAATTAAAGTGAACGGAGTGTAGAAGTTTAATGTACAGGGTTTAGTAGAATGTTACGGTGTATAGCAGTCACATATTTTTAATTTTTATAGCCTTTATGAGCTGACAATCATTCGAAGACACAAGATATTGATCGTAAACTTCAATAATTACTTAAATTCATACTAAAACAGGCGTGGGTAAGATTGGTACTGTGTTCATACTGGGATATACGATAAGTTATCGTATATCCCAGGTTCATGTCGTATGGTCGGATCAAGTGTTTTACGCTTATGCATGATTTACCGCCCCCAGTTTGCATCTAATCAAATTCATAGTTTGGAACGCGCATTTGCTCTTTTTAATCTGAACATGTTATGGCCCCAGACCCTTTTTTATGGGCCTACAAGTTGAAAAAAGCTAACTATGTCTTTGCCATTAAAATTGTATTCAATGTTTACGATAAAACATTTGTATACTTTCACGAAGTTGCGTGACCTCACTGCATAGTTATACGTGGTCAACTATTATCTTACAGGAAAAGGCCCATGATAATTTTGCAAAAACAATTGGCCCAACCCTTTTGTTTATTGTGTAATTATGTTGATGTAAAATAATTGATGAATTATATATGCAATGAAATATCATCAAACTTACTGTTCACAATGCATAACTTGAACATGATTTGATATTGTTTAAGACAAATTTTAGAATTCCACTGTAACATGGTAAAGTTCTACCAATCTATAATGATTCAGTCTACTGACTTTTACATTTTTCCACAAAATCACGCATAAAAAGTTGTCTAGCTTAGGACGGAAACGGTTTACTACCATTGATATTCATGCTACGTATAATGTTTCTTATCTAATTTAACATTTTTATCCTTTTTAAAATGATAAAATGTTCACCTTACGATCCCTGCCCCCGGCATCGATTGTCATTACTTCATCAGCGTACGTGTATGCTCTGGTACTTAATTTAGTTTATTTTTTGCAAAAAAATATAGCAGTCGTTTACCTACTACACCCCGTACACTTGCTAACAGATTTCCATCTACACCCCGTACAAAACCGTGCTAGACTCTGTATACTAGGCAATGTCTATTTTCGCAAATTTTGCTAAAAGCAGCTTGATTTGATGGATGACCACTCAAATACAAGTAGAGGGAAGTCTATATTTTATATTAAATACGGATTTTGATACAACAAATGCCTTTTGGACCTGATTTACAGGTAAATATCAACATTGTTCGAAAATATCAACAAAAACGGTACAATTTATCGCCGATTTAACAAAAAGTATTCAATTTGCAGAAAAAAGAAAATACTGCCCTAAAATCTGACATATTTAGCTTCACAAAATTGTTTAGTTTGGAAAAATCGATGGAGTTATGATGGAGAAATAAGTTGAAACATTACCTTGGGTGAACTCGACGTAAACCTTTTTACTTTCGTTTTCGGAGTTTTGAGGGGCTATATCCGGTGGACGCTGTACAACAGTGATGAAGAGCAGACTCCACCAGACTCTATCCTAATTTGATCCTAATTCCAAGTATCTTGTGAAGCATTTGACAATGTACCATACATTAAATATGCATTCTGGTCTGATAAATATTAACCAGCCAGCCTGCATATAAAACAAACAGTGCTTGCCATTCATCTTTTTAAAATGTTCCCGCGTTTACACTATCAACCTTTTCCCACATGTATATTTTCCTCGTTTTTGCATCTTTATCAGTGTTCATTCCATAATGTTTGTTAAATCCATTTGTGAAATATCAAAACTGGGTGTTAAGAAACATGTTAGCCAAGTCTGAATGGTCAATTCCATTTTTAAACACTTTTTAACACTTATAATATTGTAGCTGTTGACAGTAAACAACTTGCACTAGAAGCCATTTTTATTTTTAGCTGTTGCATTGTGGTAAATGATGAGTCAATTACGGGTCAGACTACCCTATTGTTTTTACTTCCATATGCTTATGTTATAAGCATGTGTGGAGGTCACTATCAAAGACTAGGCTTAAAATTTATCATTTATTTTACTAAATAATGGCCCTTTGTTAAAAGTTTGTGAACTTTTTTTGTCTTAAGGATTATACATGAAGTTCACTAATTAAGGTCCACAACTATTGCATGGTTTTTGACTTATTTATGAACATTTTCAACTTACAACAATGTATGGTTAAAATTGTGCATGCATCATCAATATTCAAAATTGCTGAGTGTATTAAATGAAACAAAACTTCATTCATGTCTTGAAATTAAAATTCCTTACAAAGACCCATAACCTTGACATGGATTTTAACTGAAAAATGCCCATTTTAACAGAATTAAATAAAAGCTTGTTCACAAAATTACAAAAGCTCATGAGTGATGGTATATCTTGTCTTAAATCAAAAGACACCTTCAACTTATCATTTTCTTATCTTATTAATGAAGTTATTAATTGACATTGTATTAACAACCAATTTGTATATTTGAGTCTGACTGGTTTGTGCATGCAAATATCAATAGGCTATCTTATTTTCTCATTTCAATAGATATATGTCTTAAAATGTCTGAAGAAGAATATGTTAAGTGTTTTTCTATATTTATCAAACAATTATGATATGAAGTATGTTTAACAAATAGTATAAATTGCAGTATACTATAATGCACTGCTAGGATAAAGTGAAAGCAAGAATAACATAGCATTAGGTTCAAAATACACACATTTACTCTCAAAATTTCAGCAATATGTAAGCCAGTTTATACAATTTTAATTTAATTATCTATATAATTATCTATATAATGCCTAGTGCTCAATTTTTACCACACACAAGTATTGAGATCATCACTGTTAAGTTCCTAAAGATGTTCTAATTGTTTGACAGGTTTGCATGGTTATTTTACAATTATGTAGATGAAACTTTTAAAAACTTAATTTGGACATCATTTACATGTATTTATATGATAGGGATTTTGACCCAAACCAACACTATAGTTTTAACATTTTATAAGAATCACTATTGACTTGCATAAATTAGAAATGTGTTTTGTTTTCTCTTCCCACCTACAATACAAAGTGAATTTGCCTCTTTTCCAAAATATTATTCTCAAAATTATGATATGTACAAATAAGATCTCAAAATTATTACCTGTTACTGTCAACATTAATATCATTGAATAATGTACAATTAAAGTCCAATGTCTTTAAATTTGAAATATAAAACTTGCTTTTAATGCACTCATATAAAAAAAAAAATTAGAAGAAGTTTCCTACATAAATGCCAAACCCTGTTTTAGTGTTGGAAAGGGGAGACATATTTTTATTCATTTTGGCCTTATTGAAAATAATGAAATGGTGAATCTTGGAGCTTTATATTACTTCATATTTGAATCCATGGTTTACATAACATTTATAAAGATGACTTAATCAACTCTCACATTTGGTAAAAAATGAAAATAATGTTTAAACTTGATGACATAGACTATTGTAAAAATTATAGGGAGTTAAACACTTTTCAACATTACTGATATGATCAGTTGTTGTTCTATAGAATTTAGAAAGGGCAACTGCATGGTATTCAGTACTCAAGATTTGTCCTTTTATGTATAAAATATTAATGTATGAATCCCAATATGAATTTAGGAAACTATATCATATACTTTCTAAATGATATGATAATATTCTGTCATAATAATATACCCAAAACAACAGTATAAGATAACAGTATTGTAAAAATACTACAATACTCTTTTTAAAGTAACTTAAAATGTGAGCATTGTCTGAGTGTAAATCCAGTTAGTTATAAGTATTGAACCATTGCATTACAAACATATTTTCTGGTTTCCAGATGATCATGGCAGTTTATAACTATATATATATATATATATAGTAACTACAAATTATTACACTGTAATACTACATTTGACAATTTATTATTTGGCAGACAAAAAACCTACAAATAAACATATGAGACAATGGTCCTGTGAACATTGCCTTTGCCTTGTTGATCTTTATTCTTGTTATTGAATGATTTTAATAAGATATTTAAAGTGAAGATTTAAATTGACAAAACAAACAAAAAACTGGCAATAGTTAACCAACCAAGTAGAGGGGTTTTTGAACAAAGCAGTATTGAACCAGTGGTGTCAGATTTTGGTAATCAATCCTATATATGGTTTTACACTAGCAGTACAATATTTTGTCAGCTTGTTACTCTAATGATCCAAAATAAGGTAGAATGAGGTAACTACATTTGTTAAGTGAAGTTCAAGAAAGTCAATTAAATCACAGGCAGGAATAAATTTATGTTTGTTTATGCTGAATTTAAAAGATGATCTTAATACTGATTATATTACTTTAAAACTTGTTTATCAGTATGACACTTGAACAGATTCAGACTTTTTATGAAAATTAATTTCTTTTTATACCACATTGAGGCTATTGATAGTAAATGGGACTTTCTTAAATTCCTGTGTAAATTGTTTAGAATCTTTTTATAATTGAGAATGATGTCCCAATGGCATTAAAATGTTAAAAGTGACTGTTTTGGAGTTGACAGGGGTAAAATAAGGGAACAAGCAACTTTCTGTGCCACTAACAATAAAATTAATTCACCTATGGAGGTGAATTAATTTTCTTGTTAAATCTTTGTTAAAGCCGATGTTTTAACAAAAAGATAACGCTATTTTTTTCTGAACAACTGATTTTTTTAACAAAGATATTTAACAAAAAAATTAACAACACTTTGTTAATTTAACAGAACTTTAACGTTAACAATGTTTGAACAACAGAATTGCTTAACAACAAAATTTAACACAGAATTTAACAATTTGTTGTTAATTTAACTATGAAGTCATTGTTAAATATTTTACAAAAGTTTTGAACAACTGGGCCAATGCATTTGAGCCGCGTCACGACAAAACCAACGTATTGCGTTTGCGACCAGCTTGGATCCAGACCAGTCTGGGCTTCCGCGTAGTCTGATCAGGATCCATGCTGTTCGCTATCAGTTTCTCTACTTGTAATAGGGTTGGTAAGCGAACAGCATGGATCCTGATCAGACTGCGCGGATGCGCAGGCTGGTCTGGATCAATGCTGGTCGCAAACCCATTATGTTGGTTTTGTCGTGACGCGGCTCATTTGTAAGACTATCCCATCAAACACAATTACTATTGCATTCTGTATGTTGTGTTTTTCTATGAATTATCGATCTAGGGCGAATCTTTCGATGCCACCTAACTGTTGAGCTTGCTATCCCTGCCCCGTATCGGCAATAATAAGCTGATGACATATTCGCTACCTTACTTATGCCTGTGCACATGTCGGTCCCTTTAAGATCACAGTCGTTTCTGGACAGATTTTAATGAGACTGTGAGAAGTTAATCGGTGCCCTCCAATCTCTCCTGCCAAACACACCTACCTGCGAATACCTTATTGTCTTCAAAAATAGTGTCATATTTTTGATTCAACAGCTATTGTTATTTGGTTTATTTCAGTATTCGATTATTTTGATTGTGATTCTGTCAGCTCAAGTTATAACGATCATCATCTGCTTTGGTTTCCCGGATGAGGTAAGTAAATTAATAAAAGTATCTGAACAGCTCTTTTATGTGTATACCATACGTACATGTATATTCTTAATTAATATGCACACCTTTTTTTGAATTTTGTATTTGGATTTGAAATTTGAAATTTAGAGATGTCATATGAATTTATCGGCAAAATATACAAATGGATATTTGCTTTTCGCACCATACCAACACTTTCCGTTACATAACATCTTCTATCTCGCCATAAACAGCCACTTTTCGCGAAATGATTTGTTCACTCTTTTAGATCTTGCCACATACGGACATTTTCCGTAATCTTTTAAATTTCGGATATTATATCTGTTGATGTAATAATATGTACCGGTAGTCTGTCCCATTAAAAATGGAAATGAACTTTTGCCTGGTATGAATTAATATAATTTATAATATGTTCTGTTAAATTTGAAATTTGGAACCAACCTTTGTTAAGGCTCTTTATCCCATCATACGTACACCATTTTTACCAGTGTACTGTTAACGTTTTCTTTATTCATCATTTTAAGATAAAGAAAAGAATACGACCAGCAATGAGGGATTCCCTTGATGAATACCAAGGTCTTAGAGGCTCGACTATTAACTCTTTAGGTTGGAACTGGGCCATGCAAGAGGTATTAATAGGATATTTAGTAGGTTTTTTTAAATACATATGCAAAATATATGTACATTTATATAAATAGACATCACTTCCACCGATGCAGATGTGTTTCCTCAAAGCTTTCATGGAAAAAAAAAACTCATCATTTTATATCTAAAACGAGGACATCGGGAGCAATTCTTTCAGATCATCCGATTTGGTGCTGTTTAACAAAATCCACTTGAATATGCTCTTTAGTTCATCATCGGAAAAAAAAAACTTTTTAAGTTCATCTGAGTAAATTTCCAAGTATATACTGTTACTCAATTTTTATGGTTTTATATCATAAATATGATGCTCGAGTGATGATTTATCAATATTGTAAGTTCCAAAAAGCATTATTTGTAAAGATATTATCGAATTTACATTTCATCTAAATAAAGGGAAGTAATTAGAAATTTATTTTCGATAAAGTCTGAGCCAAATGTTTCAACAAGAAATTAATGCATATATCTTAATGATTACTTATAATGCGAATAAACATTTACAGTACACATTTAACATATTATTTGATGTAGAAAAATAATAATTATATACATATAAAATTTCACCTTAGTACTGTTACATCCTTAATAACAACATATAGGATCTTCTATAAATGATGAGGTAAGTATGAAGTAATCCTTACAGTAATCTGAAAGATTCTTTAGATTTTGGCCGAATAAATGCTAGAGTCAATGAGATGTTAATTTGAATGAAATCAGAATAAATACTAAAGTATAAAGTATATCTACGCATCGGAATGAATTTCTAAGTTTATCTTAGTTAATCGGAAGAACCTAAGAAGCATTAAATTATCTGAATAATGCTTGAGTTTATAAGAAGAAATCATTCAGTTTTAGCTGCTGTCGTGACACCTGGATAGTTTCATCTGATTATGAAAAGATTGGAGCACAACACTAAATACCGTATTCCGGTATATACCGGACAATGCGCTTGAATGATAAAATGCAAAAATCTTCCCTTTTTATCCGATGGAATGAACTTTAAAAGGTTTAATTCATCCTTTCACAGCGATTTATGTATGGTAATGAATAAAAAATGTAAAAATCGGCGGGAAAAACGATATTTGTCAATTTCATGACCATGATTTTTGCAATCGTCTAGAGGTACTGCTCCAATCATGTATTAAGTTAAATCCTCAGATTATTTACATACAATTAACGTCTATTGATTGCGCACCTGTACTGTTATTTAATACACGGAAAATACCAGATTTATTTTATTTTTTAATTTTCTGCACTGTACCAGTAATTTGAATTTATTTTGTTAGTTCAGTTGCTGCGGTCCGGAAGACTACACCGATTTCATTGGTAGGGGAACCTGGAAAACAGCTGACGGTGATGGTCCTAATGTAATAACACCAACAGCTTGCTGCAAAACCTTGCCTGAAAACTCCGCCGGCGTGGCTACTTGTGCAGGAAACGGCACAAAAACAATATCAGATATTGCTGCATTAAATAACTACAACAAGGTTTGTTACAAATCAGGCCTTTGTGTTCCTTAATATTATCATACTTAAAAAAAAATATTATTAACGTGATAATATTAAGCTTGAGCGCATAATATATACATTGTTTAGCCAGTCAGTCCAACAGTTTAAAATGTATAATTTTATATTATTTTCTATACAGAAATATAAGCTTAATTGTATAAATATTATCCACCAGCTTCATGGGAGATCTACAAACAAAACTGTGCAAAAATAAATGCAGATAATAAGTCGTTACATATTTTCTTAAATTTTAAGCGCATACTATATAAAAATAATCACACTAATTTTGATATTGCATCTTAGCAAGGATACATACAATTAGAAAATGTAAGAAAGTATCTAAAATATGCCATTTATTCAGGGCTGCGTTGACGCTGTTTGGAAACGAGTAGTAGAGGACAATGATGACTACTATTTGACTGTTGTTGCGATTTGTTTCGCTGCGCAGGTTTGTCCGTTTGTTTGTTCTTTTTTACGCCAATTTTAACACAGGTGTTTGGTGTTATCTCGGCGGTCGATACGCCTAGCCATTTTTCCTGGATCGTACCAGTGACCCCTGCATTACTAAACCGATGATTTCCCTATTCAACAAAGCGGGCGCAGGTGTTCAAGTTTATATCGTTGATAGTGATGCCTGCAGTCTGTGTACGTGTCCCCTCTGTGACTGAGCCCCGGTGCTAGTGGCACATGCTCTATGTCACGAGCTAAGGGCTGTAATGTTTCCGAAATGTGCGACAACCTGTATATTCAAATTAATTTTGTATGACTTTCCCGAACTTTTTTTATACTTCATTTACATAAACTGAATTTATTATTGAATGACCAGACTATTGATAGTGTAATATTGCATTATTTAAAGGCATTGAAGGTTAACAAAGAAAATAGTTATAGGTCGGAAACTATCCAACTTAAGGCGGAGAATATCCTGAGTTCCGGATTCCGTGTACTGGAACTTTTTTTTTTCCGACTTTGCTAGATAGAAGTTTGGTGGATCATTGTGTTTAAGTTTAGTTTAATAATAATTTATTGCATATTTTATACATGATTAATTTACACAATCTAACATCAATATATTAAGCATGAATATAAAGTACATACAAAAGGGTTGGACCAAAAGTTATACCAACATTATCTAGGGTCCTCCCCTGAGTCATTTGTGTTTACCGTTCTGCGCATGCCTACCGGAAGGCGAAACCCGAAACAATGTCATTGTCGTTACTACGACTTTCGCGTTTCGGGGCGAAATCACGACAACACGAAAATCTTCCGTATTTTCGTTATTTCGACCTTCGCATATCGAGGCAAAGACATGAAGACACGACAAACAAAGGGCGCGGACACGACAGATTTCTCCCCGCCGACACGAGAACTTAAAAAATGAAATGTTCATACCTTCGCGTGTTAAAGCTTCGTTATTTCGCCAAGAATGTTTCGTGTCCAAAAGGTGAAAGTCGAAATAACGACAAATAGGTATGTCTTCGTGTCTTCGCCTTTCCACTTTCGGGGCGAAGACACGAAACCACGAAATGGCAGAAAGCAGCCACCATCATAGAGCGTACGAAGAGATAAAGAAGTATTTTTATTTAACTGCAGATCAAGGGGTCTCTAGTTCGATTCCACGCTATTCAAACCTATTCTACAGTCTTTCAGATGATACTTTTTATCAAACCGAGGTCCCATCATAAGGTACTTTACATCTTGCACAATGAAACAGTGATTACATCGTCTTTGAAGAATTAAACTAATGTATTCCGGAGCGTATTGCAGATTTCTAATGGCGGAGATATGTGTGTATCATTCGGTTCAAAAATGAAGGGAATTATGCGGTTATTAAAGCTTATCCTGTTCATATCATCTTTTTTGTTATTTCAGATTGCATTGATTATCTTCGCCTGTCTTGTGTACAAGGATCGAGGAATCAGTGGAGGACTCGTATAAATCAAGCTTACACATGATCGTTGGGTGTTTGTAGACTGATATTCGTATTATGCTGTACTGAATAAGCCAATATAACACATTTTTACACTCTATTAAGTTTGATTGCTTGAAGAAGAATTTTTATATATTAATTAACACTTCAGTTTCGTATAAGTTTAGTTAAGGTAAAATTTACCACATTACTTATAATAGGTCTTTTTGGGAGGGCCCTCGATAATGTTGTTATAACTTTTGGCCCAAACCTTTATATATTTACCTTAATTTATATATGTAAAATAGTGTATAATTGTGAAAGTTTATGTATGTATAAACATAATATATATATACACAATAAAGTATGTTGAAACTAATAGGTCAAAACGATGTAAAGGGAGGCAACTTACATTGTATGTGAAGCGCGTGTCTTAATAATCAAAGTAAAATCGAACGATAGTTTACTTAGACATTACACTTAGACATTACACGTCCGTAACTGATAAAAAGGTTCAATAGTTAACCGCAAAATTATCCGAAGATTCCCTTGACTTTAAACAAAAATATGTTGAATGTATTAATATAGCTTTTGTTATAATGCATGTTTTTGTTGGTTCATTCCAAATTAAAAGACATAATCATTTTATTTGGGTTTTGTTTATAGATCGTATTTCTGCATGTTATTTGTTTGTTTTATATGACATATGCCAATGAGCCAAGAACTTTTAATTTTAACTTTAAAACTTAATGCAAGCTAGGGTGCGGTCTGTCATTATACATAATTAGATGAATTCAAGGGAGGTTATGCATATTTCTCTTGATCATAACGCTTATCGGAGTTAGTTACCTGGATTCCATTTTAGAATAATTACGTTTCAAATCGTACACTTCACGTTTGAGGTAATGTACAGAGTTTAGACACCTTCAAAACCGTACAATATAGTACATGTACAACTATAGTAAAATTAACCTACGTAATGTCCCTTCGTTGAGCAATAGCTCTTTACACTAAAGTATCATTACTTTAAGTTATCATCCAGCAATCAAACTCTGTGTCGCCTGAAGTCAAATGACATGCAGAGTTTCATCTGTAAAATCAGAATCTTTCATATAGAACCCGGTAAAAGAAATCCACTCAAACAGCTTTCACCAGTCATAAGGTTATATGACATTTTTCCGTTTCCATGGCATAACTGAAAACTTCATCATATCTGGTCTCTTTATGGTCACTTTATTTAACGACCGTCTTTTCGAAAACTAGCTTCATATAAATTTTAAATTATCTATACCACTCGCACAAAGAGGCCCCTCTCAAATAGTTAAGACTAAAATTTGAATTAACATAAGAAGTTTACAAAGTACATCTTGTAAATTTTATTAAATTTTATTAAAAAATATAATGTTTAAATATACTTATAAAATAGATTGTCATCAAAGTAAAACTGACATATGTACATCTGCTGTATATTGATAAATGATCCTGATAAAATTATGAATCGCTATAAATGTATATAGATATTTGAAATATAATTTCTTATATATAAAAAATAAACATTTTGAAAATTGAAACAATGAAGTACATCATATGAACAAAAATGAGCGTTTAGTTCATATCGTAGTTAAAGGCTAATTGTACCTCAGAATTGCTTTATTTATTTCTCAAAATATTTCATTTTTTGTGCCCTGTTATAGTTTTCAAAAAGAAATTGTCATTTGCCAATCATCCTTTTCATGTGTTGCTGTTTGGCAATTAGTACAATTAAAATGATTAAGTATCTTGTATGGAAGTAAAAAACTACTTTGTTTACATTTTACTACTTTTATAACAAACATTTTTAGATTTAAATTTATCGATACTTTCTTCAGGTGGTAAGTATCTAACATGCCCTTAAACCATTATTTAAACTTTATCAAATGAATCTATTCCCTTTCTAAGTTGTAAAACAATTCTGAGGAACAATGTGCCTTTAAAATAACATACATTGTAAAGATTCCTAATAATAAACAGCCAGTGGCTGCTCTAAATTTAAATGATTAAGTACTAAATACTTTTGAATATATTGTAGGAATTAAAGTCTATCTGGCTTCTTAAATAAAGATTTTGTTATCACTTTTTTCCATATTCCCCGGAAACAAAGAGTCTTATTTATTTCACGAATTTCTAGGTATATAGGCGAAGGGTACTTCACATTAAAGTGACATTGTGAACATTATGTATAGGTTAGAGTTTATAAGTAAGCATTTGCAAAAATAAATTGGTCAAGAACGGTAACTATTGTTATAAAACTGCCGATTTACCAAATTAAATGTGTTATGATTCATTTAATATACTACAATTCTACTGGACAAAAAATCAATTTCAAACAATAATAGATTGTTAATCATGATAAATTATTTCTGTTACAAACACTCTTTTAGTATATTAAATGACTATATATCATCTTTTTCTATAATGGCAAGAATTGAAAAATACAATTATAAACTGCTTTACATAGTTTTATGTGAGAATAATTGTGGACTTTGTTTAGAAAAGAAATATTTCAAATTCTTAAATTCTTAAAAACATACTACCAAACAAAATTTCTAATTGATATAATACACTACACACTAAAGATAATATTATAAAAAACACTAAATATTTAAAAAAAAACAACACTAAATTAATCAATGTCTTTACATAATAATGCCTATTTGGCTGGCATCTACCTTAAACTAATACAATTTTAGCAAGGTACACTGATGGTCTAAATAGCGCTGTTTTGCTGTATCTTAATAAACAGTTCTTCATGTGAACAAGGTATCTTATAAATGACAGTAACAAGCAATTTAATTAAGTTCTCTATGATTAAATGCTATATAATATTATATATAATTATGCCATTTTCAATATTGTACATGAATTTCACACATTAGAACTAGTATCACTAATAATTTCCTAATTGTCTTAGTACATATCATTTCCACGCGGCGATCTTCCGTCGACAGTTGGTCTTTTTATTTTGAACTGAAATATAAACATGATAACATTGAATAATCGACCACAAAGCTCGCTTACAATGTCCGAAAAGTAAGACATTATTATATGTAATCACTAAAGAAAACGAAAGCGGTCTTCAAATATAGGAGAGTGTAGAAAGTATAAGTTTCATAGTTTTTACGCATTAAATAAGTTTCACAGCAATATATCTACCTTATGAAAGTTTTAGGTGTTTTACTGAATAATATATAAAGTGTATAAAGCTATATATATGCTTCTCCATAAAGTATTGCCTGAAATAAGATTAAGAGTTCTTCCAAAATGCTTGTATAGATCAAATATGGCAAAATATTACTTCGTTCGGTACATTTTACTTTGTTTAGGAACAATATGCATGTGTGTTTATTAAAGAACATACATATTCTATGTTAAAACTCTTTCGAGAATATACCATCAGATTATGAAACCAATATAATTTTACTGTTGATAAATTTTATAAAAATATTTCATAAGATACAGCTTTATATCCTTTTCAATATCTGTGCATTTAAAATGACTATACATATATGTATATATCCATAGATAATCCCCTTTTAAAAAAAACAAACAAACAAAAAAAACTACTATTTTAACGTAAAAAATAATATTTATTTGAAACAACTTTAAGCCTGCTTCCTGGAATTAAGCAATGCTGGTGTCATATCAGAAAACATTGACATGACCCTAGTAAAACTCGAAGCCACAATCCATAGTTTGATAAACATACACCTCTCTACCATCTACTTTACTAGGTATGTAACAATATCTTACCATTTAGTAATTTATATAAACAAAAAACACCTAACTGTACAAGAGAAAAATATAAATTTGCTGGATACCATGTCCGTGTATTATATTAAACATACCGGTTTCTCCTGGTCCATCTGGCGGAAAAGATAATCCCACGAAAAATTGGAGTTTCCATGAGGTTCTCGAGCTGCAAAAAGAAAAATAAAATCTTTTTACCTCATGCGAAAATTACATAAAAAACGGCTCGCATTTCTTTATAGACAAGGAAGGGGCATTAAATATACCAAAATAATAGAGTGTATATATGTGTGTAAATATAGTGCATTATAATTCGATTTTACGACATACTGAAACTGTATGTCGACTTCTCCAGGTTTATTGGACATGATAGGTATTAGATATCATTTCTTTCATAAATACGGTCGTGAGCAGGTAGGTACCTTAGCAGAATACACACACAAAAGCACGCACATACGCACACACTAGCTCTTTATAATACCATCTAACGTGAACAAATCTGACCATTACTGTTATCGTCTCCAGGTTATCTTTTTAACAAGAGCACCGCTAGGCGGAGCATTATATGCCCGAAAGTGATTTTTTTTTTTAGAAAAGATGAAGCATTTGTAAGACATGGGAGTAAAATAAAGTATTACCTCCTTCAAATAACAATCCTCCTTTGAAGTTTCAATATTGTTGTCCAAATGGAACTTTAAGTTATGCCCCAGAAACTGTTTTCAATTCTAAGGTAAAAGTGACCTTGACCTTTGACCTTGTGACCCCAAAATCATTAGGGGTCTTCTACCCAATATGGACAATCATACTATGAAGTTTAAACACAGTAGGCCAAATGATACTTAAGTTATATTCCGAAAACTGTTTTCAGTTTTAAGGTAATAGTGACCTTGACCTTGTGACCCCAAAATCAATAGGGGTCATCTACCCAATATGGACAATCATCCTATGAAGTTTGAATATTGTGGGCTAAATGGAACTTAAGTTATGCTCAAGAAACTGTTTTCAATTTCTAAGTAATAGTGACCTTGACCTTTGTACTTGTGACCCTAAAATCAATAGGGGTCTTCTACCCAATATGGACAATCATCCTATGAAGTTTGAACACTGTGGGTCAAAAAGAACTTAAGTTATGCTCCGGAAACTGTTTTCAGTTCTAAGGTAATAGTGACCTTGACCTTTGACCTTGTGACCCCAAAATCAATAGGGTCTTCTACCCAATATGGACAACCATCCTATGAAGTTTGAACACTGTGGGCCAAATGGAACTTAAGTTATGCTCCGGAAACTGTTTTCAGTTTTAAGGTCATAGTGACCTTGACCTTTGACCTTGTGACCCCAAAATCTATAGGGGTCTTCTACCCAATATGGACAATCATCCTATGAAGTTTGAACCCTGTAGGCCAAATGGAACTTAAGTTATGCTCCGGAAACTGTTTTCAGTTTTAAGGTCATAGTGACATTGACCTTTGACCTTATGACCCCAAAATCAATAGGGGTCTTCTACCCAATATGGACAATCATCCTATGAAGTTTGAACATTGTGGGCCAAATGAAACTTAAGTTATGCTCCGGAAACCAAATTGCTAACGGACGGACGGACAGACAGACGGACGGACGGACTGACGGACAGACGGACGGACGCCAGGGGGTATAACATAATATGTCCGAAATTCTTTCGGGCATATAAAAATTCACCTCTACCATTAAACTCACCATTGTCATAATCTGATCTGGATCTATCGTAGTAGTGTTGACTTTTTCCCATGGAGTATTCGGGATATACCGGATAGTCCTCGAGATCTAGAGTACCACTAAGTGGTCCGGAATATACTCCAGTGTTAATACGTCTCGGTATCTTGCCGGCGAACATGTCCATTTCCCTCTCGTCAAAGTCACTGAAATGAGGAAACAATCTGTCAATTACACTTTATCATTCTTAAACATTGTATCTGTCTTTAGGTAATAAACAAGTAAAGACAGAAATGTTAGATTCTTTCAAAAGATATTTTCCCTTTATATGACAAAATTTTAACTGCACTACATGTCCAGTTGGTCTTGTAATAGAAAGATCATCGAAACACGAGGCTATCTGTACGAGGGGGCGTAGCCCCCTAGTATTAATCAGATTAATAATCAGCCTAGTGTTTTGATGTTCTTTCTCTTCTGTGTCATAGTCAAACATAAAAACACGTTCCCTGTTGTCACAATATGAAACTCCAGGAAAAAAGTAACCAGTGAACGAGCATCTGAATATGATATTTCTGTCGCTTTCTCTTCCGTCACAATAAGTAAACCCCAGAAAAAAATGAGCCAATCAATGGGCATGCTCTAGAGTGCTGGTAATTAATACCTGTACTTTAGTTAACGCACTGTGCATGTATATGTATACGATTTAACTCTGACACATTTTCAACAGAAAGGTCCCCAAACTATGATACAATGTAAAAATAAAACATTAGCAAGGAATATGTATTTATACTGCGTTGTAACATATTTCAATACATGATCAAAAATATCAAACGGGAAATGTATTCATTTAGCTGATAGAGATATAAAGGAATGCATCGAGTTTTTTTATCATGACAGAACTGGAAATGTCTTTTTCAAGATTTTTTTACCATTTGATGCAAGTCCATACAAATAACTTGTACGCAAAATTTCAGATCATTCGCACATTCCGTTTTTTTTAACAATAATTTTTATTGCGCATTGTAGTGTTTAAACGCCTTTAACTTAAGCTAAGAACTCAAATCGGGCTGGGAACCGCACAAAATGTCGATTTTCTATTAAATTCTGTGTAACTTTATTTCTTTATTATTTTTTTTCTATTTCCGTTTTGAGTGCCAAAGTGCTGCTTTAGTGCATCTATGTAAAACATAAATAAAATTATGAGCCTTTTCAGGGTTTTGTAAATGAATGGAGAGTCTTAAAGTGTGCGTATATCTACAATTTGAAAGATCTACATTAGGCGAAGCTGTCACATCTTACTATGTCCGCTGATTGTTCACGTCATATTCTTAAAACATCAACCTGTATATAAATGTATTGGTAACTTATCTAAAATTATATGTCACATAACTGAAACTGAAAATGTATTGTATTACCGCAAATCCTCCGAGGAGTGTCGCTGTTTCCGGAAATGATAGTAGAAGATAGAGATGACGATGATTGCCACAATAATAAAGAACATTGGTACGCCAACACCCAACCCGAGGATCAGTGGTAAATGATCTATTGGAAAAATAGATGATAGTTATTATTCTATGATCTGTCGTTTGTAAATTTAATAACTTGATGATTATTTTGAAATATAAAACAAACGAAACAATGATAATCATAACATATAATCAATAATAATAATAACTATAATAATAATAATAATTTGATTTATGTGGGCATGAAAATATATTAAAGGATAAACTACTCTTAGTCACTCAACATGAAGTACAGATGTCTTCAATTCAAATTAAAGATTCATTTTGTTTCAAATGGTTGCCAAAAGTTATGAAAAAGTTACATGTATGTTTACAGAGTTCAATGTATAAATATTTACCTGTCTTGTCCTCTGCCCTGAAACATATAAATATATTGTATAAATTAATGACAATGTACTTTAATGAGTAAAAACAACTTATATCTTACTATAATATGTGTTATTTCATTTTAGGATATGTTGAATATCTATACAAAGGTTTGAGTAGATTTGATATAAAATGTCCATTTATACAAGACTGTACGCGAGAAATCTCTCAGATATTTATTCGGAATAATTTTTTTACAAGTGATCAAATGTCCGCGATGACTTTTGAACTTATGACCCTAAAACCAATAATAAATTGTCATGACCACATGACTGTAGGCAAAAGCGTTTATTAATTATTGGTTGATAAGACAAGTCTTTAGTAGTCAGTAGTCATGGCCACGCTGGCAATCATCTTGTTCCTCAAAATCAGTGAGGGTCATCAACTTGTCAAGTCAATAGTCCAAATAACGCTTTATAAACTTATGCTCATGACTTTCTAAGTTATCAATCGGATAAGGATAACATTTGACGTACACATAGACGGACCAACCCGTTAAAGTATGCTCAAGTTTGGGCATTAAACTTTACATATCTATAAATAGTAGCAAAACAAAAGTTCACAAACTCAACATATTTATAAGTAATGGTACAAATGTATATAATGAACTTACTCGCATGCCGGTTTGTCGTCTGTTACTACACATCTATATGAACATTTTCCAGAAGCTGCCTCAAACAATGTACATATAAGCGCATCACTGTCTTCTGTTCCGGTTGACACTGAAAATTATAACATTTTCCTTTAGATGTTGTGTTCAATTGTTATAATTTTACCTTAAGTTATTGTAATATGTACTGTAATTTATGCTGTTATTCTATATGGACTACACTACAGACCAAACCTAACTTTTAGTTACTGTGTGATATAGACTACATTTTATAAATTGTCTTGCAACGAACTATTATTGTTAATTGGCACAAAAAGTATGTGACAGTTTCTTATTATTCATTCGTTTTGCTATGTAAATGAAAAGTATTTCAAATTATTTCGAGGAGGTTTTAATTCAATATATAGTTATAAAAGAGTTGCAAACCTGTCACACCGTTGATCGACAGGTTAGTAGCAGTAGCATTATTGTTGAAGATCTGGAGTGATTCTTGTCCAGTCGCTATCTTCGCATTGGCTACAGCTACACCCGAGACAGCGGCCGTAGGTACAATGACTTCATATTCAACTTTAAGACTGCCTCTTCTAAAAATGTCAAGAGTACAAACACAGAAACATGTTAGTTGCAGTACGAATATTTTCAATGCACTTATCACATTTGTAAAATAAACATTTGATGAACACATTACTTGTATACCCTTTAGTTAGGTGAATAAGGTCATAAACCTTTCTTTATTTAAAAAAAGCCGCATAGTCAGATAATAAAATTCCCGCTTAATGCCCAAAATGCAATTCAATACATCCTCCGCTATGATTGCGCCAGGAGTCGGGGTAGGAAGTAAATAAGATAAAAAGGGGACATAATCGACTTGTTTCCCCATTCTGTCTGTGAAGTTACAACAGACAGGTCATGTTGGTACATGATACAAACCAACTGTTTTAAACCCTTTTGGTTCATGTTAATATATTTTGGATAAAGATTCGTTTTGGGCAAGATATACTATGCTCAAAAAATTTGAGTAAAATATTTTAATCGAAGAAATTTATCAAAACCTATGAAATTCTTACGGAATATGTCTAATTCAAATAAAAATGAATAATAAACTATATTGGAAGTCACGTTCTCTCATACAGGATAAGTAAAGTTGGTCTTTTCTTAAAAAAATCTGCAAGGTTTTTTAACGACACTATATATTCATATTGTGACGACCTATGTGTGTAGAGTTTAAAACATGACATATTAACTTTGTGTGAAGTCAAAACATGTTTATTTCATATTTACAAAGGGACTGTTTAGATATCGAATTTGAGTATAATATTTTTTTAAAATTGCCTTTTTTCATTACAATACATTTGCTGTATTAGGACATAAATGTGTTTCTAAACCCTTTCAAAGCTTTAATCTAAAACATCTAAAATGGACTTGCCCAGCTTTCATTATGGACCATTAATCATTTTTAGTAAAAAAATCAAATTAGATTTTAAGTATAAATAAACTGAATAAAGCATTATCACAAGACTGATCTTGATCTGATCAGGATAAACTTAAATTCCTGAAACCACATATTGTTATATAACTTCCTTATATCTAAAAATTAGTTCATTATACATCTTACATAAAAGTAAATGACATTACCAATGATATTTTAATTAAAGATATGATCGATATGGAGATGAACAGTGTACTTACGTTAAGTTTAAGATGTTAATGATGAATTCTGTCCTTGCTGGAAGGGTTCTTTTGTACAGGTCCGTCAACTGCAAAATAAATTACCCATTGTAGAATTTTACTATTATAGCACACATATGAGAATAGTTTGTTCGCTAGTTAAGACGTAACTATGTAATTATGAGATTCTAAAAGAAACAAGCTGAGATTTTTTTTTATTTATTTAAGCAATGCAATATTAGCATTATGATAAATTTCATGCTTGTTTTTGTTGCACATATAGGTGAAAAATATTTCAAATTAAAATTTTACCTTTTTCATGCCATCATATTCATATACATCTTAAAACAATCACATTTATTTGCTCAGGATTTATAATTTGGCCCTTTCCTAGCTTTTATGTGAAAAAAGTACCTAGCTCAGTTCGGGAAATTTTTAGGGAAAACTATTTTGTACCATTTGAAACCTCCTTTCAGGATCCTTTGGCGCAGTATTTGAATTTGCGCAGTTGTATTCTAACCAAAACAAATATCAATCAAAGCATAACATACTTAAAAATTGAAGATATAAAATATGAGGAAATATCTTTTTGTTAGAAAAAACTGAACGTCAAATATCTATGTTTTATAATTAAGAATGTCAGTTCGATTGGGAATTTGTCTTAAAGATAAGGAAAAGATAAATATATTTGCCATTGGGAACGACCAGAAAAGGCTTGCTAATACATGTATTTTAGTATGACCGATATATTTAGTTCTAACCTTGTGTACATAGACATATTTCTATTACAGCGTGAACATGTCCATGTTTGTTTATTTACTCATTTTATTCACTTACTTCATTTGTGACTTCCTCACTGTACGTTTTGTATGTATCTCCGACATTAAAATCAACGCCGCCCGGTAAATCAATGGCAAGTGTCAGTAGTACTTTGATCTTCCGCTTGTCCGCTGAAATAAAACCCCTCAACTAAACATCGACAATATATGCAAATCTTATTCAAATGTAGAAAATACGTTGTTGTGCATTTGTTTATACATGTATGTAAGTAACAACATGAAAATAAGACATTTAAAACGTATGGAAATAAGGCAATTGAAATACACGAAGATCACTTAGTTATGATTTTAAAATATATTCTTTTAATTCTTGCATTATGTACACTGGCACATATAAGTCTATATTTCATTTTTAACCTTGAATAGAAGAATAGTTTGCAAAGTTATTTTCTTCAAGAAGTTCCTAGGAAAGAGAGTCATTCGACTAAGTAAAAGTAAGTCTGATAATATACCTGGTGTCTCTGTCGTCGTTGGAACTGGTGTATCATCTGAAAAACAAACCAAATCATGGTATCAAACATTTAAATCAAAATTCATAGATAAAAGGGTTTATCTTCTATTATTAATAACAACTTTCTTTTACCAGAACAATGCTCAGTAAGGCTGCAAGTCTGGATTATTTATTTGACATGGTTCGATATTGTGTCGCTGCTTAGGTTTAAAACTGATATTTATCCCTGAAATAACTATGGACAGTTTCAAATCTTAAGATGCCGATTAGTTTAAATATTATTTTACTTTAATCAAACATATAAACGCAATATAATTACAATCAAATACATAAAAGATTGAGTAGAAAGCTATAAGCTTTTTCAGAAACTCTCTGATTGAAAAGGAAAAGAAGAAAGTTGACTTGTAAAATGGAAGTTTTTTTATTCTGTGGCACAAGATTTTTCAGTTCTTTAAAACAAGAAGTTGAAAGTAAGCAGGGAAATTATTATAACAACACTTTTTTGTATATGAAAATATCTTTGCTTATCATGTATTTTTAAGATGACAAATGCTCGTGTATGTAGCTTTTATAAAAAATCAAGTATAACGGTTTCTTATTAATATTTAAGAAATAACATCAGCCTGAGGGGTGTATATCGGCTATTTAACACCGGTTTGGAGTTTTGATGCGCATGAATTGACCACGAAGGCCGTAGGCCTGAGTGGTTAATTGTGTCGCATCAAAACGATTACAAGTTTCTGATTACATGAGTAACTTATGATTTTGTAAAAAAAAATACCTAAAACACAAGTTCCATTATTGTGTCTGGTGTAACCTCTCCAACAGGAACAATTGAACCCATCATTTATGTTGGTACAACCTTCATACATTCCCGTACAGTTGTGTGTGTTTAATGTACACTCGTCCACATTGATATCACAGCGTGTACCAGTCCACGTGGGCAAACATAAGCACGTGCCATTTGTGGTATCACATGTTTGTGTAATAGTTAGAGTGTGGTCGGCATCACAGTCACATGTCATGTTACAGCCAATACCATAAGTGTTTTTAGTGCATTCTGTGAAGAATATAACATATCATATTAAACATTATTACATAAAAAACTGAGTTTGTCTCGCCCATCGAATATACATGTACGAAAGAATTACTAATAATGCGTACAAGGTCTCTTGTTTTGACAGCATTTATATTCAAAATACTTTTCATTAAGTTAACTGTTTAACAAACGTTTTAATGAATAGTAATGTGATTTTTTTCCATTATCTTATTTTAAATTGTTACCTATACAACCGGACAGAGTTTCATCATATCCAGGTTTACAAGCGCATGTATGACTACCAACTGTATTTGTACATAAAGAATTCGCCGGACAACTGTCTGTATTAGTTTTGCATTCGTCAACATCCTCGGTACACGTGGCTCCTTGCCAACCGGGATTGCATATACATCCGGTCACATGATCACATCCCGAGGACCTAACTTCGTCACAATTACAATCAGTAGCACATTGTTCTCCCCATTTGTCCACTGCACATTCTGTAAAATGTTAAATAATATGAATGAAATTTTTTCTCCTCATTTATATCAATATGTTAGATATTCATATACACTTTGCAATAGAAAAGCATAGGTGTATTATTCTTAAGTAAAGTTTTTTACTCTCTTTGCGAAATGCTGATATTTTTCTAAAGGTAAAATACACCAGAATTTCATATTCAGTATACGTTGTGATATGTGTATGTAATTAATCTTAACTTGTGTCTCACAAATTTTTTTTAGTTTAATGTTTTGGTGATTTCCCGTTGTCAAAATTGAAGTGACATAAAAACATTCAGAAATTTCAATAAAGCGCTTTTACTCTGTATGTGAAATCATTTTAGATCTGCATTAACATTTATACTATATAATAAGTTACTGGTAGAATCACTTCCGGTTCCGCTACAATAATAAGAAGTATCTTATTCCGGTATCTCTATAGTACAAAACAACTTACTTGTACAATCATTGTCGGTTCCGCTGTGTCCAATATCACATGAACAATTAAAGCTTCCTTCTGTATTTGTACATTTTTGAATGCAATTACTTGTACCTCTTTGACATTCATTGGTGTCTAGGAAATAGATCACAGCGTGTATGTAATAAACAAACATTATAATACCGCACTTTGTCTTATTGCTAGCGAACTGTTATTGATTTGTAGTTTTAAGCGTTAGCTAAAATGTAGACGCCGATTGAAAACGTTAACTTGAATCAGAATGGACACACTAAATTTTACAAACAAGTTTATTTTAAGTATTTAAATTAATAACGTACGCAAAGATATTATTGGTTATTTCAGAAAACAGCAGGAATTGTTTAGTTATATCAACATCTTTATTAATGTATGTAGCCGATGCCTTACACTAATATGAACTGACTGATTACTAGTAAATTAAACAAGTTTTATCATATTGCCATTTTCACTTACCAACACAGCTGTCCTCATCTAACTCAAATCCGGAATCACATTGACACGTGTAAGAACCGGCACTATTACTACATTGAGTTTTATGTGTTTCCGTGCACGGGTTTGTCGTTGAGCATTCGTCCACGTCTTCAGAACATGTGTCGCCCTTCCAGCTCGTCATGCAGGCACATGATCCATTTTGTGAGTCACAAGTTTCGGTATTGGCAAAATTACAGGCACATTCCTGGGCACAGTTCTTTCCGAAATGCTTGGAGTCGCACACTTTGAACAAAAAAGAAACATTACTTTACTTCCAGCATATCACTCTCATTGTTTTGTAAGGGAAAGTCAATGAGCAGACCCGCCAGGCAGACTAAGATTTTGTCTTGCCGGACTATATACTACACAAATATATTTAAACAACTTAAATATATATAGATTTATAAACCCGTCAAAAATTATCAGTGTCATTTGCCGTTCATTGCCCGGCGCCGCATTTTTTAATTTTTTTTTTATCTCATTCTCCTTTTTAAAAGTCGAAGTAAAACAGTCGTTTTGTATATTGAATTTTTTGTAAGGAAAAAGAAATATCTAAACATGAAGAAAAAAATGCAAAAAATCTGAAGCAAATATTTTTTAAAAATTTTCTCAAATGTTTAAATGTAACTTCATCATAATTCAATTGTAATCCTATATTCCTATATTTGAGAAAAAGGGAAAAAAAACCTTAATATAATGAAAGCACACGTTTATATACTAAGTAGCTTAATATATAAACATCGATCTTATTCAATGAAAAGCAATATTTAGAAATATTATAAAAATGAGGTAGAAGGCTAATATGGCAGTCTAAAGCCAAATAACATTATGAAAACACTTAATTATTGACAATTTTAATAATAAACTACACATAATTTTAAAAAGTTTAGTACTAAGTGAAACAAAACTAATATGAAATTCATAATGGCCGAGCTGGAGAGCCCATCAAAATTTTCCAATCTCGTAATAGCCGAGTTTTCTCATTTAGGCCATAATGGCCTTGTTTTATGTTCATAATGTCGCGGGGAACTTATATAAGCCTTACACGGGCTTAAATTTGAAAAGTTAATTAATATAATATGTGTTATACCCAAAAAAACATATTAATGCTAAAGTAGAAATGTTTCTAATATATATTACCTTCACAGTTTTTCTCACTATTTTTAAAGAACCCGTCAACACATTCACAAACATACGAGCCTTCAGTGTCTACACAGGTAGAGTTTACAGAACAATTATGTTGATATGTATTATCTGTGCATTCATCGATATTAGCGCCACAGTCATTTCCTTTCCATCCAGTTTTACACGTGCATGCACCTGTATCAGCATTGCACGTTTCCGTGTTGCTTTCTTTGCATGCACAAGTCTCGCCACAGTTAACACCAAACGATCCTGACTGACATGCTGTAAGTAATATGAAAGTTAAACATGACGAAAAAAGCTTGACGAAACAAGTGTTCACGATTTCTTTTTGTATTCATTGAATATAAGATGATATTCATATCAAACTGTATTTCTTCATTTACTATACGTGTATTATCATATTGTTTTCTCAATTTTAACTGTATTTCTTAACCAAAACATGTATGTATGCTACTGATAGTCTTATTAAATTGTAATTCGAATTTCAAACATATTTTTGTAATATTATGTATCTGAACATTAAACATATTTTTACCATAACGGGTAAACCATACACATTGTATTACAATATTTGTACATTAACCCTTTGTACGCTATAGGCAATCACAAAAGACCTGTGCCATCAGTAAGTTTCAGGTCAGTCCATACACCAATGGAGTTAAACCAGCCTCTATATTGTTATTAATTTTGGTGTCTCGATAATGAATATACTTAATCTTGCTAGTTTTGCGGGATTGTCACGGCTAGATTATTATACGAAATATTAGACCATAATTCCACTACATTGATAATGTAATCTTAATTATATTCTAAATAACCGCATTGACATCATATGACCGCTTGTGCTTGATATATGTGACTAAATTTACCGAATTTTATATAAAAAGATAAAACATTATACGACACAAAAAAAACAACACTTTTATAACATTTATTCTGTCTCACATATTTGATATGTCCATTTTGTACTTTGTATTTTTATGACATGATAATTACAATCAATTCAGGAAACATTGATATCTAGATACTGATTTTTACAATATGTTTCTCCACTGACAATAGTGGCTCTATATTCTATATTAGTAAAACTGTCAAAATATGGATACATAAATAATCTTTCTTTCCATGTGAAGGAAAATTTTACTATAGTACCAATGTGTATTTGTTTATAAATTTTCTAAAAATGTTAGAATTATGGGAATTTTATATGTTATCTTAAGCATATAAAATGGTAGAAGTGACCCTCAAAATGGCGGTCAAGGGAGGTTATAATTTCAATGTGAAAAGCATCTATAAATCTATGTTATGTATACTTACGTGTACACGTGATAAAGTCTTTGTCCAGTTTGAAACCTCTCTCACAAGAACATGTAAACCCGCCGTCGTTGTTATTACAGGTCCCGTTAACACATGGGTGTGTTGAGTTACATTCATCAATATCTAAAAACGAATATATAGATGCTTTTGAACGAGTGTAAATTCAATACTGAATTTATTGCACGAGTTGTATAAAATCATATTATGCGAGCACAATATTATTTTATTCAACGTGTTCATGTAATTCAGAATTGAATTTACACAAATATAATACATGTATTTTATTATCACCTAACCAACATATGAACTGTTTACAGTGAAGTGCAAGTATTCCATTTTTTGTTAATGACGCGCCAGTAGTTAAAAGCGTCATTTTGCCCTGTTTAACGCAAATGACGTCATGTCAAAATGTATGAACGGCCGTGCAATACCATATATACGGACGGGTATGTGATAAACTGTTCTTTATTACAAATGGTGTTCCCAATCATTGTACACTAATTAAACAAAAAAAAACAACAAATCATTTTACTTAACAATGTCAAAATATAATGGTTTTGATTATGATTAAAATTACAAATTTTTGTTTGTGGTGTGAGAGATGTTACAGTGTGTATTATTGTGACTTTCACATATTATTTACTGTACAGTCAGAGGTGACGTTAGATGCTAACAATGTGTAATGGCACACGGAAACACCACATTTCAGTCCGCTAACTTCCAGACAAGCATTCAGAGTGCCTGGTTTTCAGCTAATCTGTCACAGATTTATTTGCTTAAGACATTTCTGACGCTAATCAAAAACTAATAGTACGGTATAATAAAATGAATATAACCCCCACCAGAATGTTCACCCATGATTGACAACCCAGGCATTACATCACTTGTCTCGGGTGAACATTCATATTTATTACCTTCAGTGGACATTAATATTAAATGTTATATTATATGTCTAATGAACCGATTCTTCCAAATAATACTTTTCAAATAATAATTTGTTAATAAAACTAAGAGAATGAGACTCTAATTGCCGATAAAATAAAACTTCAATGAAACCTTATTAATTTTCAAAAATTACGGAGCTATATAATCCTTTATTGCCGAAAATCATAAATATTTATCTATAACACTATGAGCCATAAATGTTTATTTCTAACATTACTTCCAAGAAAAGATATGATTTTTCTCTGGACAGTTCATATGATCATACGTACCTGTACATGATGTATCAGCCTCGTCTGCCTTTTCAAATCCTTTCTTACAGGGACATGACTCTTCATTATTGATCATTAAGCAATCCGTGTTGGCACCGCATCTGTTACCTGTACTGCATTCAGTTTGTACTGCAAACGATATTATAATCTAAATGAGTTATTCCCCTTGCTATAACTTCTTTACCTAAGGTTTCAGATTCTCAAATGAAGATTATTTTGACAAGAGTTTTACATTGAAAGACTGTAACTTACTGTATCAATGTCATAAGCTGCCATTTCAAATTATTAATTAACGTGAATTCGTCCTAAAGCCTACTTTACGGAAATTATAACGGTAAGATCGATAGAGAGAGAACATTTTCATTGTATTTAAAGATTGAGCAAAACGCCCTTCACGAACAGTGGCTTTTAGAATACATTTTATTATATGTTTGATGTTTTTAAATAATCTACCAGTATTGCAGTATTGAATATCATAGTCAATCTTATCATGTGAAGGTAAGATTATTTTATTGCGTTTTGTTATATAATCTATTTGGATGATATTATAGACCGATTGGCATGGTTCACGCTAGCTTGATCAAAGCCATATGCTTAAGAAACAATTTTTTGGCTTCAATTTCCTGTAGTGTTTATCTAATTTCTTCATATACAAAATTGTACATTTCACCTATCTTCGCTAATTCAAACATTTGTAAAACATCTTAAAAATAATGAAACATTTTTTGAAAAAAATCACAATTTTTCTCACATACAAACTTTCCCGATGTGAAAATAAAACATGTATACCTGTGCATGTTTTCTGGTCCTCTTCACTCAGTATATATCCAGGGTTACAGGAACATTTGTAACTACCATCAAAGTTGTTACATATTTGACTACAGTCATTGATTCCGGAACATTCGTCAATATCTGATATAATTATATATGGTTATAAGCTAAACTTTTTCACCTTCAATATTTTTTTTTTATTTGTCTATTATACACGAATATTTGTGATTGCATAAAAAACTCAAGCATGAAAACGATAGTGTTGACGCGATGTGCATTGATTATGAAGAGTCAAATAAAGATTAAGTATTAACTTAAACAGTTATTTTCAATTATTTACGGGGTTGTTTAGTAACGATTAACATGGTTGTTTAGTTATATTTAACGTTGCATAAACATAGAAGAGGCCATAAGGTGTCTTTATAGCTTTACCGGTGTAAGAAGACCTCAAGTTCACCTAAGAGCAATATTTCAGGAACGAACAGTAACATTAGTAGAACCACCGTAGTTCCGTGGGCTAATTGGAATGGTTTCTCACATGAAAGAATCCAATGTCCCTTCCTTAATCATTAAATGCGACAATAATAAAAAGGTAACAAAAAAAGGAAACCAGTAATATTTACATGATGATAGTTTCGTAATCATGCAAACATAAACTATAATTGTATGATTTACCATTGCACCCGTTGCCATCTTGGATATAACCGTCTCTACAGCTACATGTATAACTTCCTAGTGTGTTGTCACAAATCTGAGTACATGTGTTCAGCTGAGGATTGTTGCACTCATCAGTATCTGTAGACATCAATTATAACATAATTTAATGTTTTTATCACAAAGTATTTTTTATTGAAAATAGTAAATTTATGACTGAATTATCATGTAATTAACGTAATAAGTAAATCATCCGGACTGTAAAAAGTGATTTACATCAGTTGAGAATATAACCAATTTTGTATTGACAAATATTTGAGAAAAATTCAATGTCGATGTAATTTAAAAAAGAACCATAGAGCATATCCCTCCATGCGCGATTCATGTGATGAAGCTATCCAGCTAGCTTAGGGAACGTCGGTGGTTCTATTCAGGTGCTCGTTTGTGCCTGACATAATGCACGGAACGGCACCTGAGGTCTTCTTCCACCAGTAAAGCTGGAACGTAAGGATATGACCAATGCTGTGTCGATGTGACACAAAACCCAAAACAAACAAACAAATAATCCATGCGCGAGTTCAGGGACATCTTTACATTAGCAGAATTATCGACCTTCCGTCTAATCAAGAAGCTAGAAACAAATATTGTCTTTAGCAAAACTGCAGCAAAATACACAAAGGGTCTTAGACTAACCTTCACATTGGCCGTTCGTATTATTGAAATATCCTTCCTTACAGGGGCATGTAAACCCACCGGGCGTGTTAGTACATACAGTATTGACACGTGTGCACGGGCTAGTTGCTACGTCACATTCATTCCTGTCTAAATCACACTTTTCACTGGTCCAACCATCTTTACATACACAACCTGTTATAGGATCACACCTAGCCGCTCCGACGCCACATTTACATTCTTGTAAGCAGTTTTCTCCGTAATGGAACGCGTCACACACTAAATAATTAATAGGAAAAAAATATGTCTTTAAATTATCAAGTTAATAATTCTGAAATATCAAACTTACCTGTTTTCTATGAGCATCAGCCTTTTACAATTAAAATTTATCCAAAAACAAAAACATTTGTCTCCCCATTAATTTTACGATTTTATAAGATTTGACTAAAAAAAGTAAAATTGAATTATTGGTAAAAAAATGTTACATATACCTGTACACGTTATTCCATCATGTTCCAGGAACTTGCCAGTAGGACATGTGCACGTGAAGCCGCCATTAACATTTTTACAGGTATCAGGGTATTCACACTTATTTAATGTACTATCTTCGCATTCATTTATATCTGAAAAATTACATGTATTTCCAAATTTGCATATATAAATCAAATTGACCACGGGTTGTTTTTTCTTAGTATCGCCATTAACACCACAACTACCACCGCCATAATGATGCTCGTGATTATGCTAACAAAATGAATAAATATCATTTTATCTCAATCAGTTATGGGTTTTTATAATAAATGGTGATTTATGTGGATAGTTTGTTTTGTAAGGTAGCCAAAGTTCAGCAAAACACACTTTAACATTCATTCTCTTTAAAACTATTCCTTATGTTTCGTAAAAAATACCAAAAGACAATTTTGTAAACATATTTACCGATACATGACTGCTTGTCGTCTGCGGCGAGCACTGAACCGGCTGGACATGCACACTGTGCAGTTGCCGTACCAACCCGACAGTAACCGTCGCAAGTCAAACCCTGGTTCGAGCATATGGTGTCAGCTGAGGACAAAGTGAAGAAAAAGACTATTAATTCATATAAAAATATAGAAATACAACTATCCTTATTAGCACTCTCCTTGGAGACAAATTTACGGTCGAGTATCAAGAAAACATTGCATTAAAACCTTTTTAATAGACTGTAGAAATAGAGCTTAACATAAGAGCAGATAATGTGCCAAAATCCATGAAACAAACAAAATACAGACATATGTTATCTGCAAGAATTACCTGAAAGCTGAGTGCATGACTTTTGATCGGAGTTCAGAGAATATCCAAAATAACACAAGCAATTGTAAGATCCCTTGGTATTCTCACACGTTTGTTGACATCCTGTGTTTCCGATATCACACTCGTCCACGTCTGAAATATTAATGAACAACCATGATTTCCAATATTACTCAAATATAAACTACGCTTATAAAATGTTCAGTATTTCTTTAAGTGATAAGATGACAATATATACATTTTATATTTGCTTCATTGACAATAAAAGTGTGATAACTTAGCCGTATCCGATAATTTCAAATTGTCAAATGTCCCATATTGGTATTCTATACAAATGAAGTCCGGGGTAATTCTTTGGAAGTCGACAAAGAAAGGTTTATTTCATTTATTTGTGAATTGAGCCGTAATAAAATTGTACTGTTAGTTCTGAATACATCATCGTGACATAAATCCATTACTTAAATGTCGGAAAAGTATTGACGAAGTAGCTAAAGTTAAATATCCATTAAATCATATGTCACAACTCATGAAAATATAATTCGTGCTTGTTTTTTACTCACCGATACATTTTGTTGCGTCAGAAGGATCTTTCTTGTAGCCATTGAAACATTCACAAACAAAACCACCATCAGTGTTTGTACATTGTTGTTGACAGTTGTTCAAATTTGCATCATTGCATTCGTTTATATCTGAAAGAAAACTAAGCTATGAACTGTATTTTATGTGTGTTTTTATTTCCTTCATGTCGTGTCTCAGTTGTTACTACACTTACTGTTCGTTCATCTTTTAGTCTGGACAAAATGATTAATCATTTCAGCGAAAAATTAAGTATTGATTGAATAGAAGACAATGTTTGTTTTTGTCGTTTAGTAGTCAGTTTTAATTCGACTTGATATGTCTTGATATTTTACTGCCAATAAGCTGACATCAATATTAATTATAAACTTGACGTGCATTCATTTTGTTTTATTTACTGCTCCAATAAATATAAGCAAACGCAAATAACCAGATCTACTAGCAAAATATGCAAGAACGAAACTAATATAACGCTATTTTATTACAATTAAATATATATAGTTAAAACATCAAAAAATGAGATCAAAAAGTATTATATTTGTCTTTTACTTGTTTTGGACTCTTTACTTTACCAGAACATGTCAGAGTCGCTTCTTCCGTACCTCGTAAGGTCCTGTTACGGCGAAATCTATTGAAGACATTTACGGCGCTCTCAAGAAAACATTATGATAATATACAAAATTCTCACCATCACATTTGTCAGTTTCCGTATTTAACTGATAATGTTGTATACAATCACATCTGTAGGAACCTAAAGTATCCACGCAAGTTTTATAATCATCATTACATATGTTTGCCACAGAACATTCGTTGACATTAACAGTGCAGTCCGTTCCTTCCCATCCAGCCTTGCAAATACATCCTTTAAGGGAAGAAAAAAACATTTTTTTCTTCCAATAATATATGCTATCTTTCAATTTCATAATGTTTGTTGATAACCTCTATAATATCAAAATCTTGTTTATTATATAAAGATACAACTGATGGTATGAAGCATTGCAATGTTATTATAATGAGTTATTTCAATAACAATATTTTCACAATATTTTCTATCTGAAACAAGTGTTTTTGCTGTTGCAAACAACACCTACGAAATATGTGAATTAAAAACAACACTGCTCCTTTTAAGTTTAAAAGTATAAATCAATGCAGAAAATATGCTACATAATGGTAAAGTAAAGTACATATTTATGAAAACATTGGCTTGTTAAACAGACCTTTAGCATTGTCACAATCCGACGACCCTAGACTGCTACATGTACATGTTTGAGCACAGTCATTTCCCCAGAAGCCAGATAAACATGCTGGAAATAAAATTGAAAACATTTGAAATTAACTCTATCCAGCACCATAGAATAATTTAACGTGCATTTTAAATGGTAAATAACAATTTTCACGGAATAATTACAGCGATGTTTACAAAGAGCATACGGACATGTTGGACGGTCCATATTCAATTGATTCCTCATGTATTTCCGCATAATTTGTCTATCACAAGTACATCGATTTCAATCATTTTGCCGTCGATATGTGATTAAAACGGGACTACAACAGAAATAACGACCCGTGTATTATAAAAGAGTGTAAAGCTGCGAAGACATTTTCGCTATTTAGAATTTATCAATTCAGTGTTGTTCATCATTTGGATTCATTCGTAGGGCCTCTGTGGCCGAGGGTTGAACGTCGACGTCATTACATCCGTAAGTTTTGCTAGACAGTGGAAATTAATTTAGCATCATGTTTAAATTTGAATGTCCCTTTGTCCTGATATTTTTTTCAATGATATACAGTTTGGTGTATGCCTTATCCACTTTCACATGTTATTGTATGCAAATGCTTTACACTGTCTTGTCATTGATCATGTGTGTATTTATACTCATGGACCATTTGGTCCAATGGAATATTGAAAGAAACTTATCAAACTTATCATCATAAGTCCTCAAAGAGGTTGGCACCTCTCTTGTGCGTAAGCTATCTATCTAACTTAGAAAATATTGGCAGTTTTATTCATTCACCTGTTCATAGCTGGAGGAAAGCACGGACAAATACTGGAAGTCTTTAGTAACCAGTAAAGCTAGAAAGTCGCAATATGACACTTAAAATACCAGAGTAACATGAAACCCATAAAAACTAACGTAGTCAGTTTCTTATGACATAAAAATGTAGATTTCTAGTCATGCAAAATTCATAATCACTGCCTAGTAAATGATGAGAGGAGTGACCTACCGGAGCAAGTGGTTTTATCAGCATTTAATGTAAACCCTGTCAAACATCCACATGTGTAGGAACCTGCTGTATTATCGCATGTTCCGGAACAGATGTTTTGTCCACATTCGTCAATATCTAAACAATAAAAAAGTAATGTATCGCTAAACAAAATAAGAGTATTTTTACCTTTTGAAATTTTGTATCTCAAATATTGTCAGACACACGAATATGTAAAGATAATTAAGTCGTAAATAATAGCAATTTAAATGTTAAAACAAAATAGCTCTTTTTTACAAATTAATTTGTGAGTATACGGGCACAAGACGTCTTCCTCTATCAGAGCAGCTGAATGTCGCCATAATATTACAGTGACCTATAAACTATCATTTCAGGTGCTTGAAAACTGGGATTTGATAACTAACAAGCTTGCTGAATTGCAATCATTTCAACTCATCTCTATAATTCACACATTGCTTGAGTTCTGCCATGTTTGTAAACACCAGTGATATGTGAATTGGTAAACATGCATGTAACAGCCTTATTATAATAAAAATACCCCTAGACTCGTTCCTGGCCTTGTTATAGCAGCGAAGAATAGAAATTTAGAACGATTTTTTATTTTCTCACTTAAATGATTGTTTTAGAAACAGAAGCAAACACGTATTTTGACATCTATTGACAAGTTTGTCCTATCTAATCCCAAAATGGAAATCAAATCTTTATTTTAATTACTTATGTATTGTTTTAATTTAACGGTTATCATGTCAATGTTATTTACAACACCACTGCAAACAAAAGTAAACAAAAGCCTCTACCGTATGTCCTTGGTTCGAGGTTAGAAAGAAAAATCTCTAAGCTTAAACTCAGACGTCCATGTATTTGTCGGGCCAAAAATCAGCACAGAATATACTCTGACGAATTAAAATCCTGAAATCCAAGACAGAGTTTTATATAAAGAAAAAGTAATCTCAAGGCATTGTCTTAGATGTCCGTGAAAGAAACTCAGGTTATAAACTTCACAAAACTTTTCTCGTCGTTTCCAAGCTTGTACCCTTTGTTACAGAAACATTTAGTGTCGCCATTTTCCACAAGACATCCACCATTTTCAGTTGAACATCCCGAAGTGGCACATAATGCAGTATCAGCTACAATGTACAAACATATTATGTTCTACCTTTAGTAAATAAAATGACAGTTAAGTATATTATATACAAACATTCAATTTTTCAGTCTATTACTGATATTTTATCTCAATAAAATAAATTCTGTTCCTTCATAACATATCTTAGGACAAGTAATTTGTTTGGTGTAATATCTTTATAATGTTTATTGCACTTTTTGAAAGAAGTGTTCAATAGCTTTCTGTTCCAATTTACATTAATTTTACGAATGAAATAAATATGAAGTCACCACGTTAGGATTTATGCATGAATAATTATCCTGTATATAAGGAATAAGAAAAGTTAGTTAAATTAAACAATAAATACACAAAATATGTGACTTTCCCTTAATCTGTTAATAGACTTACACAAAGTGCACGTGTTTGCAGTAGCATCATAATCATAACCATCATTACAGCTGCACGTGAAACCTGGGTCTATGTTTGTACAAATTTGCTCACAATTACTCGTTGCTTCTTCACATTCATTAATATCTTGATAAAGAATATAAAAAACATATAACAATACAGAAGAAATGTATAGTAGGAATATATAAAGTACTACATAATGGCAAAACATCAATAGATACGTTTTTATTAATTCGTAAGCAAATTTGATGTCACTGTCAAGTATGAAGTGGTACAGGTTATCATTTTTGGAATAATTTTGTATATAAGAATAAAAATGAGTCATCTCATTAAAAGAAATCGCTATCATTCCTATATAACATCCATACATTCATACAACGACTGCAGCATAATTTTATGCAGGTTTCACGATGAATCTAGTAATCGTGAACATGAAAAATATGCCCGATTAAAATACCAAACAATTGCATCATATACAGGTTACAACAAATAGACGCAAAGAACTTTTTAATCTCAAACAAAAGTATCTACCAAGAACTTTATCCTGTGTCACAATTTACCTTATCCACACAATGATGATGTTCATTGTCTTTCTGGTAATTAAAAGTGATAACAAATACAATACCTATACATGTTGTGGCATTCTTCGCACGTCTGCCCTCATTACATTTACAGACATAACTTCCTACAGTGTTCTCACAAATATCACTGCATGGTTTAGGTTCAGCTTCGCATTCATTTATGTCTAAAATAATAAAAAAATATACATTAATTTTGTAGTACATTTTTGCATTTCATTCTAAAATTTATATAAATACATTACGTTTAGATCATCTGTTTGTATACAAATATATAATACCTCCCATTATGGTAACTTGTCGAACTTCACTTGTCCTTTACCTCTCTGGGTTAGAATCCAGCCAGGGATATTAGATTCTTTGATGAGAGAAAGCTATCAAGCTAGCTTACCGAACGTCGATGGCTGTTCTCAAGGGCCCGTAAGTGCAATACATAATGCATAGAGGAGAACCCAAATATTTTTTTCACCAGAAAAGCTGGAAAGTCGCTGTATGAATTTTACTGTGTAGGTGCAAAGTAAACCCAAACAAAAATGAAAGAAATAGTGTTATTACGCGAACTTTGGCTTAGTGACATTTAGACTGTCATACAAGCAATTGAATCGTGTAATGAATAGTATCGATGGTTATATCATAAGTCATGTTCAGTGGTTAAAGCTACTTTTAGTAATGCATTTTGCTCTAATTCCTATTCGTAAATACCTAAACAATCCTGGCCGTCTGTAGTGTAACCATCAGGACATTCGCCGCACGTAAATGCATTTTCGGTCTCCGCATGCGTGGCCGCATCATTGTCCGTACATTCACGGTCTAGTGAACAAGGGTCACCTTCACACCCATCGAGATCAGTACCACATTCGTCCCCTTAAAATCATTTTAAATGCCAATTATACTTTCATGTTGTATTAGCAGTATAAACATTTCACATAGTACTTTAATTTTGTGTTATCAATCAAATGAGCAGTATTAACATCATGAATGTTGCCTTACCTGACACAATTTCAGATTGTGTTATGTTTGATCTGAAAGTGTAGTATATGAATTCAGATGGTCATTTAAGCATGATTTCTTTTAATTTCGAACTAGATCTTAGTCCGTTTGATTCATGTGTGATGGAGGCAGATAAATGATGATATATACTCTCTTAATGAACATTTTGTTCTTCTGTACGTACCTTCATAGAAATCATTACAATCACACAAAGCTAAATTGAAGCCCTGAACAGCCGGGTCTGGAGTTCGAGTATTTGTATAAACACATTCACCATTTCCGTTACAACCAGTACATAGAATTATGTCAAGAACTAGTAATGCTGACTGGACTTGGAAGTTGTCAACGGCTACCAAACTGTATGTTTGCAAATTATAACAATAAATGTAATTTCATAGCGTTTTAGATTTTAACAATACATAAAAGGAAGATAAAACTGTCTCTGGCCCAGATTTTTTTTTGCCTGCATAGCAAGAAATATATGCATAATATCTAAGTGAGAAAATAACTTTGACATCTAGAAAAATAGTTATTTTATCTATTTGTTTAGATAAGGTTTAAAATACTCAAGTTCTCTTTTTAGAATGTTTACTATAATTTCTCGTAAAGGCCAGATCAAATCTATTGTGGTGTTAAGTGTTCATATTTGTATATTGTCATTTAGTTATGTGTGGATGAACTGGTTCTACAAGTTCAGTGATGGGTGATTGATTTTGTATGTGTTATAGGTCTCTTCTAATTGCAAATTGTATACTAGTCTGCTGTTAATTTATAAAGAAATGTCGTTTTGTTTCTTTAAAAATGATATCTGTTTTATAATTTATTCGTTATAAAGATTCTTTACAGGTTGAATGACTGTATATATACAGTTGTTTGCATTATTCAATCTTTAAAACCTAAAGTATATATGAGACATGTTAAAAAAAGTACCTGATCGTTATCGCTGTATCATTTTGAAACGAGATTTCTAAGACCTTTGCATTATTTGTAGTTCCGTCCCGTAGAGTAGCTATATCTGCGCCGCTAATTATCTGAAATGTTATAACACCGTCGTCTACTCCAGTTAAAGTTACTTCCGTCTTTGTTTCATTCAGTACATGTATCTTACCAGTGTTTTCGTCTAAGCTTGCCACATCTAACTGTAAGGTAGGCGCAACATTTTCTGGAAGTATTGATAATAGAACATTATGATGTGTAAATCTAAACACCGTTATCATTTAACGTAATCATCTCGTCCAAACATTGTCGAGGATGTTTCCTACCCATGTTAAGATTATATAGAGCTGAAATGTTTTCATGTTTTCCAAACAAAATATATCTTAAAGCTTTAACTTTAACAATTGAACCTGCATACTAACAACAAACTTACGCCTGTTCCTAAAAACCAAATTCTATGTTTAAACATATCAGGTAGAGGTATGCTTATTTCATGTATCAATTTAAGCGCCGATTATTTATTTATGCATTAAAAAATATTAAATAAATATATACTATATTGAAGGTGTGAAATAGTGTAAGTGGCTGAAAAGATGCCGAGAAAGCAGATCAAATGGATAGCAATATTAAATAGTAACAAATCAAAAACATTTTCAACTAAATATACTATTGCAACACTTGTAATGTAATGTTATATAGCCTACCAAGACGAAGTTGTATATCCTCTTGTTCCTTACTGACAGATTTTGTGTCTTCTGCTACTTCGTCATTTCCGGTGAAAACTTTATCAAATATACAAGGAATATTGCCTTCTCCACAGAAGGTCGTAGCCTCAGTGACTAATGCTTGATCAGCCTCGTCAAGGAAATTAACTGTTGGATTCAAGTTCTGAAAATCTAGAAAACTTCCACCGGGCGGATATTCAAACACTGACTCGTCACTGCTGGTTATCATCCCTGAAATATCCACGTGAAACTCGTGCATCAGCATTGTAATGGTAAGTTAATTTCAAGATATTTCATTCCATATTACTTACCAAAGAGTTTATACTAAATAGGTTTTAATGTAACTGTATACGTCGGAAAGTGCAAGATCTAAATCTCTTGCATATAGTATTTACCAAGCAGTATAAATTACATTTAATATTGTGTAGTTGTTCTATCACCGCTGTGTTCGGTATCTTTAAAATAAAAATTGAAAACTGTATGGAAAAAAGTATGAAAAAACTAGAAATTTAAACAAATATAAAACAAGAATATCAGGGTTGTTTTTAGATGTAAATCATTGTTTAAGATTTTCAAATCAAATTTTAATTTATAATAAAGCGGTACATGTTGAATTTCAGTGTTGTCAATTTAAATATGTTGAGCGTATACGATTCAATTTGGCTGCCGTATTCATTTCTAAATCTAAGTTGTCTGTTGAAGTATATCCCAAATTACTTTAATCTCAATAAAGGCTAGTTTCTCTGTAATTGGGAATTGTTGATCTATTTCATCGGACTAAATCCTATTGCAAAATACACTGTTTACTTTTTGACAGCAAGTGGGAAAACATTGTCCGTTGGATAAATGCTAAAAGAACCTGATATTGATGCGTACACAAGCACGTGAAAATCGTGCAATTATAACGCACTCACAAGTCTGTCCGTAGTTAAATATTTCTCTTTCTGTAGCATTGGTTGGTAGAACAGTTCCGTTTGGATAAGTAAAGTCATCAGACGGGTCACTGTTCGCATTTCCCATAAGTCCCTTCGGTAAACCTGCATAGGTTTCCGGAACTGCCACGGAAATTGTCAGCAATCGTTTCAGCTTTACAGCTACAGTAAAACTTATTTCTGAAATAAATAATCATTTAGATTACGACGGTAGCAAAAAACAGGCATATAAACAGTACAACACAGCACACAATAACCACGCACATCGCAGAAAAAAGTAGACAAATTCATAAACGATAAATTCATACACAATGTAAACGTCATTGCGCTAGATCATAATTCAAAAACCAATGAATGTAATGTGACATTGACATTGCCGACGTAACAGCTGTTATATTATGAGAATCATCGTAGAACAAACAACCGTTTAGCTTAAAGTGGATTGTCCTTCAATGAAAACAGTTTCCATAAACATGACAAATTCTGTTAGAAAACCAATAGCAATGTTTTATTTGGATTCATTTACATTTAATTTTTGAAACAAAAATGTTAATAGAGTTTTATGTGTTTTATTAGGAACATTTATGAATTATGTACAATACTAGTTTGTTCTACATCAATTTATATATCGATATGCATAATTTGATCATGTATTCAACACTTAACCAAAACAAACAGTATATATAATTTTTTCTTGGTGTGATGTCACGTATGATAACTATGATACTAAATACTATTAACATGATTATTAATGTAATTACAGACTTTCCATTATAGACCCATTTACCTCAGACAAAAACGTGACTTACTGGACTTTGTGAAGCTAACTTTGATACTGCCATTTTGCTTTTCCAACGAAACAGCTCCTTCAGATGTCGAAAATTGTTGATCCGAAGCAAATTCGGAGGTGAAGAATTTGCCATTCACTTTAATTTGCATTCCAGCATCTGATTATCAAACATAATTACACATTAAAATTAAATGTGCACATGTATGTGATGAAGAATAAAACATTTATAAAAACTATTGTAAAAAGGTATCCATATCATACTCCTTACATATATTTCTAAATTTTAATAAAACATATATAATATACAAAGCGACTTTTCGTTGTATACTTTATTTATAAGAAGAAACATACACAAAAGAAAACAATGTGACAGAGAACAGAGACTTCAGTAAAAATAGAATATGCTGTTAACCAATCATGGATTCTTATGTTATAAATCATAAAAATGATAATCATAAAAACAGGTATTCTCCGCAAACACCTTACCGGTGTTATTATTGAGCTCAATTGTACATCGAGAGTTGTCAATATTGTCTTTAGCTGCGAACGCCGTGAAAACAGTGGCACCAACAGATGTTCCATCATCACTAAGGAATGGAGCTGTTCTTGCTTGTAAAACAAAGTCTACTCCTTCCTTTTGTACAGACAACATTGTATATTCAGCTTCTCCATTGAACGTGAAGGATTTTCCATCAGGAGTGGTTATATGTGGATCACCGGTTCCACCACCTAGTCAGGTAATAAAAGTCTTATAAGGTAAGCATTTTACATTTTACTCTTTTACAAACATGTACAAAACGAAATAAGTTTTGGGCGTGGAGAAATTATTTTTGTAACACAACGGACCAATCCAAGCTTGGTAAAAAATTGTGTCCCATCGTCCCGAGAAAAAATATAATAATAGTCTCTTAATGCAATTACTTGGCCCAAGTTAAATCAAAAATAAAAATTTTGATTTGTTACAAAGTATATACTTATCTTTTTCTTTGAATCAACGTACTATGTTTTCATTTTTGGGAGTACAAGATGACTTTAATTTGCATTGTTTAAGTCGGCTATTATTTTTTCTCTCTTGATAAGATAACATATTTTTTCTTTTAGATATCTTTTGAGGACAATGCAGAAATCACCGGCTGCTCAAAATGAAATTTACAAAACGGTCCAGAAGTCTAAAAAGTAAAATGTTGATTCATTACAAAGATCAACTTGGGTTCTTCAAATGAAAAAAAATATGCAAAAAGGAAATACGAAATTTACCCAGAAATAAATTGAAAATCTATTAAGGTGGTTTTCAAATCAATTTTGAGTTGAAATATCTTAGCGCTTTTCATTCCTGGATCACTTTGTATTATTAAAACAACTATTCTTGAACATTCTGAAATTTGCTCACAGTTATTGATTAAGATCTAAATCAAATGGTATCAACATATTTCAAGTCCCTACTGTGAAACCCTTAACGGAGTCCTTTTAAGCTGCAATTTTAAAATTAATATAATGCAATCATCAAATTCATCCAGCGTGAAACTAATGGCGTCGCTTTAGGAATTTCTAAAAATAGCATGGAGAGATGGCTTACTCATTATTTAAGAGAACACTAACGAAATCAGTTATATCACATACCGACAAGTACACCAGCGCTTGCTGTGCAGTTAGTGTTCCTTGGACGAACAGCATGGAAGTCATCGCATAGTCCGGCTTTGCAGCATACTGACCTCATGTCTAATTCGGCATTGTAAAAAGCATAATAACCAAAAGTCAAAGAATTATATTCTGATCTAAAACCAACGTTATCGCCAGATGATATGAACGAGCTTGACTCGTAGGTACATGTCTGTGAGAAGAAACAAACAAAACATTGTATTTAGATTGGTTGTTATGCAGTGCGTTGAAGAGTTGTCATAAGTTCAATACACGAGATCTGAGTTTATCTGAGTAATCATTTACAAACATCTCAGTTCAATATCAAGCGACAAGCTACTCTAAATTAAAATCTACACTTTGCTATTTTGCTTTGAAAATGAAAGTAATATTGCTTAACAATTTGTTTTCATGTCGCCGGGAAACTGATGCTGCATTACCTGTATTTTAAAATGCTTCATGTAGTTCTTGTTAACAAAGAATCAAAACTGCAAAGTTCAAATAACTAATTCCTGCTATAGCAAAGTAATAACAAACTAACCATTCCTTGATAGTTATATTCTTCATTTGATTTGATGCTATATGTGTCTATGATATCCGACGATATCAATATTGATGTTTTCTCGAAAAAGCCAGCTACTTGAATTGTATTCTTATCACACGGGCACATTGGCATATCGTTCCATCGTGTTTCTAAGACTTTAAGTGTGTTTGCCTCTCGAGTTGTCCATTGTTTACAAATGTAGCAATCTGAGATTTTAGTATTCCAACCCGAGTTCAGTGAAAACATCGCAAAACCGCTCCGTCCTGAATTATAAAATAGACCATGATGTATTGTCAATTTTACTCAAATCTTAAGAACCAGAGTACTTACACTTTTTCCAGTATGTAATTCTTATAAAAATAATTCACCTTTTCTTTGTTTTTTCTGAAATATTTTAATCAAATACAAACTTGAAAACATTTAACTTCTCGAAAGGCCTATTTGGACAAACCATAAATCGATCTCAAAAGGCAATATGTATTTTCAAAACTATTCAAAGTCATACTCACTTAAATAAAGATAAACGTCATGAATCCATTATTGACAAGTATTTGCTCAACAGTTCTAAACTTTAATCAATACTTAAAGAACGAATAAGGGACACAATTATAATAACATTATTATTTTTATTATTATTGAATTTTTGACTTATATATCACACACACGTCATTGTAATATTTGTCATTCAATACCTCATATACGTTCAAAAGAATGAAAAGCTATACATAGTTTGAAACTTTACAGGTTGCTTTGAAATGTTATAACAAAAAAACACTTTTAAGTTACCTAGATTTGTATATCGTGTAACAGGACTGCGTACTCTGACAGATAATGTTTGTTGAAATTCAAACGCTATTCCAATTTGATTCTCAAACGTTGCGAAATTCATTTTATCTTCTAGGTAGGCAAAGAAAGCAAACGTGTTGTGTTTTCCGTCTGAAACTATGATGAGTTGAAATGTGGATGTCTGGAAAAGGAAACAAAACTAATGATATAAATTTGAGAACTTGTTTATTTAAGAGGAAACCTTATATTTTTAAATGTCAATATAGAATTGATTATCTGTTTTATAATGGTTTAACCAATTAAATGATATCACAAAATCATAATAAGATGCATTTAAGTTACTTTGCTTTAATATCTCTCGCATCTCTCTCAGCTACATTTTTGCTGTAATTGTCTTATATAACGAATAAAAAAATTGTCATAATATATTATAAACTGATTGCACATCGATTTTTAAAATTCAATTTTAACATTTGTTACACTTAATTACCTCAATGTCATGAATACTCTTTCTATTGCGCTGTTAAACAAATCTCTGCAGTTTTTTTTAAGATTCATGTCACCTAGCTTTTTAATCAAGTTACTAAACCAAGTTGTTGCTTTAAGAAATGTTAAAACGTTATTGCCATCATAGCTGTTTCGGATAACCAGCGGGCAATTAAATAAGAATATTGAATAAAAAGTTATATGATTCTTGTAATTTTTTCAAATAAGCACCCTATATAAATGATAGTGGACTGAAAACCTAAGATAATGTAGCTATAATGATACTACAAATATAGCAAAGAAAATGAGTCAATAATAGTCGTATAGTGTCTTAATACAATATAATGTTATGTTGAAAGTATTTAGAATTTTACAAGGCAATGAACCAGATTTATTTATGGATGCTGTTGGTAAGTTTGATATGCATGAACCAATATTATATGTACATATCTGTATATTTCAGATAATAAACTGTTCTAGAGCAAAATATTATGTTCACATAAAATCACATAGAACTCACCTTTTTTTCGGGAAACATTTTATAACAAAAACAAATGATACATTGCTTTAGCATTTTTATCAAATTTTGAAAAAGATCAACGCATTTTATAGAAAGCGAGAAAATAGAACTTGAAAATCACGCCTTCCGAAGGCACGTCCCATACATGTATATAATGCATAGATCATGTAAATGTTTGTGGGTAAATGTATTGTTATTCAAATAAAAGGTCAGTGTAAAGGATCTATCAATCAAGTGAATGTATCGACAAAGTCCTATCCTTATTATTTCTTCTCATACTTTCTGCGCTACCACGCAATGCATTTTTTCCTGTTTACTGTTTTAAATTCCATTGTAAACAAGACAATTGGCGTGTTTCTTTATTCAGTCTTTTTTCGGATACAAGATGATGCTTTTCTTACCAAATCATTAGTATCCTTGCTGTACTCTACGACATCAGCCCACGTGACCACAAGAAGAAAGTACACATCCATCGACCCATAACCTGCGTCATTAAGAATAGCAGATATCTCTGTATTGACTGTGGTGTCACTGGCTAACTCGTCTTTATTATATAGACGGTACCAAATATCACCGGTAGTTCTGGCATCAATGTTCGAAAAGTAAGGAGCTACTATATCTCTGTTTTTGAACTTATTTCTCTCTGATACAGAAGATGGAACTGAATTTTTCTTGTATTGTTTTCTGAATGTGACAATGCCGTTTTCACAAATCTGTAAATGTATACAAAAATATATATGACTATTAACTTTTGGCTCATTAAATTTTTTTTCTTGTTTACAAATGAAAATGAAAATTACCGAAGTTAATTACTAGAAGTGATTTGTTACTTTTAAGTCAAATTTTAGAAAGCTAACAAGTCATTAGCTTTTGTGCAGAAATTCATAAAGTATTCTGTAAAAGTTAACTGTAAGAATCTAAAAGAGTAGATGTTTAATAGAAAATGGCTGCTGTAATTTGCGTTTTTTTAAAAGAAACATATTCTCACGCATGTTGTTACTTTCTAACATGTGAACTGAGCTTTGTTAAAAAAATGTTAAATAAACATTGGATACTTACATAAAATTTGTTTCTGTACTCGTCATCAACTTTTATTGGACACTCAAAGTTATCAACCATTACACACCAGTCTCTCTTTTTCGGATAGGAGATTTTTAATTGACCGTAGTTGGCACCATAACTTAGCGGTAACGTGGCAACCCCTTTACGGAATATAAAATTAGATGTTTTAGATACGACCATGTCGCTCCAGATTAAACGCAAAATTTTAACTAGGATGTATGTAACCACGTAACATGTGAGAATATGATTTTATATATAGTCAACCATTTCGCTTATATACTCAGGTCATGTAAGGTATAAGCTTTTAATATACTTTGTTTATGTACAGAATTAACTTTTAACATTATAAAGATTATAATCACAATGCAGATTCACTGAAATCAAATTGCTAAGTGTTACTTAAGACTTGTCTTGGAAAGTTGTTCAGTACTGCCGACATTTGAATGAATTTTTTTTTATTAATTATAATGTTTTCGATAAAAAAAGTCTAGTCTTTCTGACTGTAATAAAGATATATCTGAAAAACTTGCTTGTCGTACTGATTGTAGTAAATGCAAGTTATATAGACTAACTGTAATAAAGATATGTTAAATAAACTGTCTTGTCCTGAGTGTGATAAAGGAATGTAAGATAGACTATCTGTAAAATAGATATATCAGACAAAAATGTATACTAATTTGTCTTACTGGATGAAGTACTGAATATTTGGTACGCAAATATCTCTACTTTACACACGGACTGTATTGTAAGGTGTGACAGATAGACTTACTTGTCTGACAATAATCCCCTTGAAATCCATTGGTACATTCGCAAACGACTTTGTTATCTGTGTCCGTGCATTTTCCACCATTCTGGCAAGTTGTATCCAAGCATTTACCTAAAACAATTAAGTAAGCTTTGATCTATGCATTACCCGGCATTTAGAACGAATCTATTTGATTTAATGAATTAACTTAAAATGTTTAAAAGCATAAGATATACCTGTACTTTACATATTGTATATATGTTTTTATTTCAATCAATCACATTCAAACCGGCTATCACTCTTTCATGTTAGTTTTCAAATGACCTCCACCCACATGAACCAAAATATTGAAACAATTTTAACCTGTTATAAAGTTGAGGGCTAGTCTAGTGATCAAAAGATATGCATTTCAATGCAGAGATTGTGCTTTAAAGCCTTACTAGGGTCATGATTGTGTTTAACTATGTGACACCAGTATACCACATGACTACGTTCTCATAAGAAACTACGTAGGAACAGCCACATGTTGATAACAACATCATTTTTTTTCAAATGACATTTGGCATGCTAAATATCTTAAATTGACAACTCAATTTGTTAATCTGGACGAAGCCATAACACATTTATACATGTAAGGACAATTTTAATTTGTCTAGACTAAATAGTTAATAGAGCTGATTTAGATCAGACGACATATATTGGCTGATGTTGGTATGCATTGAAGGCAATGGTAGATTCATTTGTCGCCAGCAGGATAGGATAAACAATACTAAAACAACAACATTTCAAGTAAATTATACTGAATACGTCCAGCAGTCAGCTTGTATAATGTGCCTCTTGCATGTGTTTTTTCACAAATAAAAACGGTCCGATGAAAAATAATAGTGCCATTCCAAGGTTGTCATAATACAAAATTATCCGGCCGGATATGTTATCCTAAATATTATATCATTAGAAGGCCCACTTTCATTAATATAGGTAAAGAGGAACATATTTTCTAGGGTATGGTGTTTAAAATGTAGATGACCCATTTCCCTGTCATATTTTACAATACCTGTTTGACAATAGTCTCCTTCGTATCCAGCAAGACAAGAACAGACCAGTTGATTGCTATTGACAGTGCATGTTGCTCCATTTTGACATGGGCCTTTTGAACAAGTAGCTTTAAAGAAAATCAAGTTTAAGTTTATTTATGAATCGTTTGACCATAACAATTATTCTATTGCAGCTATCAAATAACTAATAACCAATATCTTATTATAAATCACACATATCAAAACACAGCAATTAATATTTATTCCATTTATTCTTGTCAAGCTATCTCTTAAAACATATTTTTATTTGTCCTTATATATTTCATCTTAGTGCAAAATATATCTATCTTTTCCGGCGCATATTTCCATTGCATTAACATTAAGAGAGTCCATGTACTTGAACGAAATTATCAGTGTACATGTATTAACATGGGCTAAGATAACTGAAACACAAAATATTGCAAATTGAGTGTGTTCCACTGTGACATAATGGCACCACTAAGCCAATTTTCAAATACGATATCATGTTTTAAAGATTTATGTCAAATTTGCACGCATTTTATTAAGATATCAGTAAATGAAAGGCATTTGGTTTCTGTATTGGACGGACGGACGTACGTTCCTACCAGAGCTAGATTATGGGGTTTTCTTTTGTTATTTCTTTTGTTCTTTTTAACCCCACAATGCAGAAAATAACCCCAGAAGAGAAACGGAATGAATGACATCAAAGACATCTAATGTTATGAGAACAATAGACCAAACCCCATAATATACCTCTGGTTTGTACGGACAGACGGACGGACGGATAGAAAATATAATCATATTACCTGCACATCTTGCTCCAGCAACTTCATAGCCCGTTTTGCAAACACATAAACGCGATTTTGTATCACAATCACTGTTCACATCAATGTTACATTCACTGCTACTTTCCGTGCATTGGACTGTTGTGATTATGCCTGATAGAGTAATCAAATAATTTAATTCATACTATTCATACTGAAATAAATAGCTTGTTGAGCGTTTCATTTATTTTATTAATTCAATTTGTACTTATATTATAAAATAAAAACAGTGAAACATACGACTAAAAGTCAGAGTAAGATACAGTGATACGTATTACATCTTATAAGTTCAATTGAGATTTTAAAGTAAATATATATCTATGTCATAATTACATTTTCATTCTCTGTTCCTGGTTTAATTTTCATGGCATATATAGATATGCATCATTTTTGCATAAACATAATTATGTACAGTATATATAAAGTTAAGCCCAAATAATTTTGCAACATAATCACAGGCCCTCTTCTTGTCTTTCCAGTCCTATAAATTGATTATCTTGAATTAAATATTATAGATTAACGTTCTTATTAACAAAGAAGTGCTTTAAACTGATTTAAAGAATTTCAGGAGGATACTTCATAATTAAAGTTACCTCAAAAGAGATGCTTCCCAACTTGCAACAATATCCATTATTGTATTAATAAGTAAACGACCAATCATTTAATATCAATGATATAAAAGGAAAACGATGTCAAATTTCCATTAATATTTAAGCGCTCTCAAATCAACAATACTAACTATCCTAATGTTTGTTACAAAAATGTGGTTTGCAATCGAATCAAAAGGCATCAGTCAAAACCTTAAAAAACCTGAATAAGTTGCAGTATTAATAGTAAATCGAATTAAAACATGTAGATAACTTACGTGTACATGTTTTACCATCACCATTATAATCAGAGTTACATTCACATGTATATGACCCTTGTGTGTTTGTACATTTGCCATTTGTTTTATCACATTCGTCAATCTTTTCCTCGCATTCGTCTATATCTGATAGAGTAAGATGCCTTTTATAGAAGATCGTCATTATATTAATATTTCACAGTTCATGCAAGATAGCACACTAGAGTAATAAACTTAGAGTAGAAACAGCATGGATTTGTATGCAAAAACAATTATATATATAGAGGATATTTGTTTGTTTGTGTGTAAGATGAAATTCTATTTCATCGAGTGGGCTTTAAAAACAGTATTCTCACGAGTGGCGTAGCCACGAGTGAGAATACTGTTTTTAAAGTTCACGAGATGAAATAAAATTACATCTTACACAACAAACAGACAAATTTTCTTTTTATTTTATGCTTTAAAACAAGTTAAAACGAAATTTCCATAATTTTAACGTTAATATTAAAATCTGTTTCCCCCATTGAGAGCCCCATTCAGAGGGAATTTCTCATTAAAAACAAGAAGTCTTGAGCTGAGAAATAAGTCCGCCAATCAAGGTTAAATGACGGTGATATTTATTCATTTTATTAAAAAAATATGAATGATCGCTTTCATTAATAATAAAAACAAACAATTCTTGTAGGAGAAAAAGTCCAACCATCCATCCATATTTCTGTTACTTACTGCGAATTTATATAAGACCTGGCTTTGTAAAATGTAAGCGGCAGCCATTTTTTAAAGTTGTGTATTCCATGGGAGGAAAATAATTGTGTAAGATTCAGAAGGATATAATTGGATTTGTTAGTCATACACCTTTTTAAAAGAAAGAAAACTTATTTGAGGATTGTAACAGACAAAAAATAAGTGTTGACAGAAGTGAAAACATTCAGAAAAGGAGCTAGGAAAATGGAAAACTTGGAAGCTTGCTAAGGCATTGTAAGGAACGCTGGGTTGTTTTACTTATTTTACGAGTGATGGCTGTCAATGCTTTTCAATTTTTCATAAAGCATACGGCAGTTATTGCTCGTAGGATACTTTAATATGCCCAAATGTCATCAAGAGCAGTTTAGCATGGGGAAGGAATGTATTTTTCAGACTGTAAAAACGAAACAAAAAAATTTAGAGACGAAATTTTGTGATTGGAATTTGAAGGAATAGAAGTAAGTTTTCTCTCTTTATTACTTTTGACATTTAAGTTATTTACCTATTTCAGCTTTGCTATTTTTTTTAACAGCCTGATATTGTCAGAATTGTCAGTAAAAATAAAATTGAGGTACCACATGGGGAAAATCTTAAAAAAGTAGTTTTGTCATTGAAAAAAATGAAATTATATTTTGATAATTTTCACTGTGAAATTATCAAATATAATTTTCACGGATAAATCAGTAATCCACTGAAAAGCATAAAATAAAAAAACATATCGATGATATGTCCAGTAACCGCTCACGCCGTCTTCGTACAACTGGTTAAAACTGCATCGAAACCTACTTTACAAACGAAAGGAATTGAAATAAAACCAAGATTTCTGACAGTTATAATAGAATGAAATTCTTTCAGGCATTTCAGAGGCCTTGAGGACATCGTTTCACTAAAAAAATTATTAAATAAAACCAGCCCCAAACAGTATGTGCTAGGGAACTTTATGACAACGGCACTATATACAGAAAAAAATATTTACCTATTTGTATAACATATCAAACAAAATAAATGGCCATAGATCTAATTTAATTTATCATGCAACTACTATGGTAATTGCCCGATAACACTTGCATGATAATTATTTTTGAAATCAGGTCAGTAACCTGATATCAAAAATAAGCCCCGCCCATTTTTTACGGACATTTTTCAATTGCTTATATTCTCATTTTCATCAGCATGTGAATTCTACAATGTAATCTCATACCCTTACAAGTCTTGAATCAAGATGCAATATTTATTTATTTATCATCTCGATTTCAATTACGAATGAATTAGACAGCGAATAGTTTTAACACCAACTAAATGAGTGAGGTCATAATTTATATTGCAAATGACATCATAAATGTTCACGTCATACTATAACATAACAAACAGGCTTGACGATTTTCTTTGAAAACTTGTAAATGTTTACTTTATTTTGCCGGATTAATATTTAATAAGTGAACAAAATGTAAAGTTTATGTGATTCTGAGGGATTTTTTGGATCGATGTTTAAATTAAAGGTAAGAATTATATTGTGTTTGGCATACATTCTGTTGTATCTTTTATCCGAGCGAAATTAAAAATGGCCGCCATCTACAAATTCTAAGTTTCAGGGGCGGTTGAATTTGTTGTCAATAATTAATTATTCGAACAAAAATCCCACCCTTTTTTTTATTACAAAATTTGCTGTTTAAAAGTAGATTATTTGTTATTTTGACAGTTTTTATGTGTCACATGATAAATAGAAAAACATGCTACTGTCTTTTGATATCAATTCTATCAGGCTCGGCTGATATGGGCAGAATGGGCTCATGGGCTCGACAAGCCTCGCCCTTTCTAGCCCATATCAGCCTCGCCTGATGAAATTGATATCAAACGACAGTAGCATGTTTTTCTATTTATCATGTGACACGCATGTTATTCTCTATCAATCAACAAGCGCAATCAATGACAGTTTTCTAAATCATATGATCAAATCTCTTGCAAAAAGAAAGAATTACACAGTCAGGCAAGTATTCCTCCATATATTTATTATTTAATATGGGAAAAAGAAATAGAAATCAGTATCAGACGGCCACAATACAGTCAAAATAATGAAATAAGAAGACTATGAGAAAAGGAACTGGCGTGACAAGTAACAATAGTTCTATGACAGTTTGGTTGCAATCCGTTTAGAAATGTATAAAACAAATAGTAAATGAAGAGAAGGAGAGAACACACATCAAAGATCAAAGGTTGATTATTGAAACTGAAGAGACATTATTGTTGGTTTCAGTATTAATGAACTAAACTTCTTGTTGAAATTTATTTCTATAGTTGTTTCCAGTATGTATAATTTTGTAACAAATGTTGTAAGTCTTCAAATCTGGTGTGATATTTAGCTGCTGGTTCTTTTAATCTAAAATAATAATGAGTTTTAAAGATTTATAGTTAGTTCAAAAATATCGTTAATCTAATTAGATAGTTGTTTATCTTTTGAGAAATTGTTCAGGTATTGTAACATGATGTTTCCAGAGTCAATTTTAATAATGTGAACTATTTAGGGCCAAGTTGGTGAAATGAAATTCCTCTCGAAAATTTGGCCAAGTTATTTTCAATTTTCTGCATGGTTTTCGTTAGTATAAAGTATTTTTAATCTTCTATGGTATCTTTATGGAGTTTTTGTTGATAAATATACTGTTCTAGGCTTTTTTTTCTTGTTCTTTAAGACTTTTTTGACACTGAGATTAATCTTTACTAGAATTTTAGTGATAACGTTTATTTGCTCCTGTGAAGTGATTTAGTTTAGATCTTTGTTGATAATTTCCAACTCTTGTAAAATGATTTTTTTTTATTCTCCACATACTGTAATAAAATCGCGTAAAATTTTAGACCGAAAGTTATGTGAGCCTTTTTCCATTCAATTTGTAGTAATGAGTTGATCACCGGTACTTGCGAAGTACGATTAACTTATAGAGATTTCAGGATTGGTTTTGTGTTGATAATTGTCTTGAAGTATTTAATATGGTGGTTGGTACGTGTATTATGAGTATGTAATTTTTTAACACTTTGAAACGGGTTACATTGCTTTCGTCAATTCGTTGCGATGTTTCATCGGGTAATTTTCGTTTTCCCGTCGTTAGTGTGTTAGATTATTCCAGAAGTAGTGTCTGGGAGACAAACGGCGAAACGTTAGACGCTTCCACATATATTGTGCCCTCTTTGCAATATGCGTACATTTTCCCGGCAAAATATCCTCACATAGGGTTCAAAGGAAGTCTGCTACAGTGGAACCCAACAAGGGATTCTGGTAAAAAGTAAAAAACTATAACACTACCCGCACTGCTCCGGATGACTCGGGGGATAACCCAATGTCGACGGATCCCAAACGGGATACAATTTTCCCTAAAGTTAATACAACAATTAAATCAAGAGAAGGCGAGAACACACGTCAAAAATCAGGATGTTTTGAAAACTGGTTTATCCAAGGATCTACCGGTTTCGGTCTTTCAAGACCTTCAACAGGATATATTTCAATGATACATAATTACTGAAATACTAAAGACGGCTACAAAATGTGACGTATGTTACTAATACTATAAATAGACGTATAGGGCAAGTATAAAACAAGTCAAAAACATCAATATAAAATGCATATTACACTCCAAATTGGCTTGTTTTCATTTTTGATAGTCTAGAAATCCATACCAATCCCTAATTGTAATTGAAATAACAAAGTTCTGTTAAAATGTCAAAACGAATGATGATACAATAAAGATGTCATTATACATTAAATTGAAAGTCTGAGTTCTACTGTGAACACATGTTCCTCAGCAAGTGCTTGTCACGTCACTGCTCCTTTCGAATAGTTAAATATTCCAGACGGGAAACAAAGACAAGACTTTAAATGCATAATGGGTTGAAAGACCTCTGTTCAGTGCCATTCGTAATGTTCGACTTCACCAAGTCGATCAAAGGATATTAAAATTTTAATAAATCATAAATTAAAATACCTTTTGGTGTGACTTACCTTCGCATCTTGCTCCTACAACTGCAAAACCAGCTTGGCAAACACAAGATTTCTTTGTCGTATCACATTCACTATTAGTATCAATATTACATTCAGAACCGCCATCATTGCATGCGACCGATGTAATCATTTCTAAGGAAACACAAATGTATTTATTTAATTTCATTCAGAATCTAACTACTTCTTTTCGTTTGGAAGGTTCGCATTAATTTACAAAATGTTTCTAGCAGTAAAGCACCACTTCCTAAAGTTCTTATTTTACTAAAGATAGATAGATTGATACATTTACATGTATATAAACCTTTTCTCCCAAATAAGCGTGTTTTGACGGCTTTTTGCCCCCCCCCTTTTTTGAGGCCTCAAACAGTGAAAAAATGCCCTATTTAGGCCCCAATACTGGTTTTCGTTTTAGAAATGTTGTTAAAGAAAATTTTGTTTGGACATGTGACAGGCTAAAAATGGCCTCAGGTCAATCTTAGGGTAACTAGTAACCGACGCTGAAAAGCCTTTTATTCTATCTCAATTCATTGAGAATTTGCAGCACTTTGAAATCAGTTTTGATGGAAAATAAAACAATGCAAAATTGTGATTTTTATGCAATTTTGATACGTACCTCCGTTGTCATGGTTACAGGAAATTTACGATTGAGCATGCTGTTACAGAGGCTATAGTCTAGTCAACATTTGTGCAAAGTTTCATCAGTATTGAAGCATTTTTCATAGTTTCATAGCAGTTTGAACTTGTTCAGGAGGCTTTTCAATGAAAACGGCCATTTTTTGCACTATGCTCATGGGGTAAAAAGTTAATTAATAACATAAAAAATGTCAAAAAAAACAACAACAAAAAACAGCAGGCTAAAAATGGCCTCAGTTCAATCTTAGGGTAACTAGTAACCGACGCTGAAATGCCTTTTACTCTATCTCAATTCATTGAGAAGTTGCAGCACATTGAAATCAGTTTTGATGGGAAAAAAACCAATGCAAAATTGTGATTTTTGGCAATTTTGAGACGTCCCCCCGTTGCCATGGTAACAGGAAATTTACGATTGAGCATGCTGTTTCAGAGGCTATGGTGTAGTCAACATTTGTGCCAAGTTTCATCACTATTGAAGCATTTTTTATAGTATCATAGCAGTTTGAACTTGGTCAGGAGGCTTTTCAATGAAAACGGCCATGGGTAAAAGGTTAATTAAAAATAAAAAAAAATGTCAAAAAACAACAATTTTTCACCAAAATGCAGTGTTAAGGCACGTGTTCACATGGAAAATCTAGTTTTTAGGTAATTCCAAGGTTTTTTTTTTATCATATTTGGTTAACCATTTCCCTCATATAAGCGTGTTTCGACGGCTTTTTGCCCACCCCCCTTTTTGAGGCCTCAAACAGTGAAAAAATGCCCTATTTAGGCCCCAAACACTGGTTTTTGTTTAAGAAATGTTGTGAACAAAAGTGATCACTTTTTCGGCGACATCCCCATCCAAATGTTACATCAGGGGGTTGCCAAAAGGAGGATGTGCCCCTTCTGTTTGTGGGTTTGAAGGGGGGGGGGGGCGGAGTCCCCCTCATCGCCAAGAAAATTTTGGACTTGTGACAGGCTAAAAATGGCCTCAGGTCAATCTTAGGGTAACTAGTAACCGACGCTGAAAAGCCTTTTACTCAGTCTCAGTCGTATCACATTGACTGTTACCATCAACACTACAGTCATCGTTATTAGTACACACTACCGATGTGATACTTGATACTAAACACAAAAAGATAAAAACAAAATTTCATAACAGTATACCTACGAATTGTATACAAAAATATATTTTCAAAATGTGTATGTCAAAGAATTTTTTCAATCCATTTCTTTTCATATACAGATAGATAGATGGATGGATGGATGGATGGATGGATTTTTGTTTGACTAATTTTTGCTATGATTTTTATTTTTATGTCAAAAACCTTTTAAAAAAAGCATTCCCTTTTAAAAAAATTTAAAATCTTACAAATTTACCCAAAAAATGTCTCATTGTATTTTTCCCCAAAAAAAACCCATAATGTTCCAATATTTAAATTCCATAAAATTATCAAAAAAGTTTTGTTTTTCTTACGTTCCATTCGTTCCCGTTACTTCAATAAATATTTCGAAACCCCTCGTTTTGACTTAATTGCATTTTTTCCGTTACTGCAAAACCGTTTACTTCAATTTACCGTTTGTCTAACATTTACTTTTACCACAACATACAGTCACGTTTTAGTACACACTTTCCCATGTGATACTTGATACTAACAAAAAAAGATTAAAAAAAAAAATTTCTAAAAGTAACCTACGAATTGTTGCAAAAAAAATTTTTAAATGTGTAGTCAAAGGATTTTTCTAATCCATTTCTTTTCAAATTCAGATAGATAGATAGATAGAGATGGATGGATGGATGGATGGATGGATGGATGGATGGATGGATGGACGGACGGATGGATGGATGGATGGATGATGGATGGATGGATGGATTGATGAATGGATGGATGGATAGATTTTTGTTTGACGTCATTTTTGCATTAATCCTTTGTGTTTATGTCAAATCTGTTTCAAATAAAGCATGTCACCTTAAAAAATGTTATCTTACAAGTTTACCAAGAAATGTCTCATTGTATTTTCAAAAAGCCTTTAATGTATCCAATATTCAATTCATTAAATATTATCAGAAACGTCTCGGTTTGACTTACGTTCGCATTTTGTTCCTGTTACTGCAAATCCAGTTTTACATTCACATTTACCGTTAGTCGTATCACATTGACTGTTATCATCAACACTACAGCCATCGTTATTAGTACACACTACCGATGTGATACTTGATACTAAACACAAAAAGATTAAAACAAAATTTCATAACAGTATACCTACGAATTGTATGCAACAATATATTGTCAAAATGTGTATGTCAAAGGATTTTTTAATCCATTTCTTTTCATCATATTCAGATAGACAGATAGATAGATAGATAAATTTTTGTTTGATTTCATTTTTGCTTGAATTCTTTGTGTTTATGTCAATGTCACATTTAAAAGATTTATATCTTACAAGTTTACCAAGAAATGTCTCATTGTATTTTCAAAAAGCCTATAATGTATCCAATATCTAATTCATTAAATATTATCAGAAACGTCTCGGTTTGACTTACGTTCGCATTTTGTTCCTGTTACTGCAAATCCAGTTTTACATTCACATTTACCATTAGTCGTATCACATTGACTGTTACCATCAACACTACAGCCATCGTTATCAGTACACACTACCGATGTGATACTTGATACTAAACACAAAAAAGATTAAAACAAAATTTCATTACAGTATACCTACGAATTGTATGCAACAATATATTGTCAAAATGTGTATGTCAAAGGATTTTTTTAATCCATTTCTTTTCATCATATTCAGATAGACAGATAGATAGATAGATAAATTTTTGTTTGACTTCATTTTTGCTTGAATTCTTTGTGTTTATGTCAATGTCACATTTAAAAAAAATTATATCTTACAAGTTTACCAAGAAATGTCTCATTGTATTTTCAAAAAGCCTATAATGTATCCAATATTTAATTCATTAAATATTATCAGAAACGTCTCGGTTTGACTTACGTTCGCATTTTGTTCCTGTTACTGCAAATCCAGTTTTACATTCACATTTACCGTTAGTCGTATCACATTGACTGTTATCATCAACACTACAGCCATCGTTATTAGTACACACTACCGATGTGATACTTGATACTAAACACAAAAAGATTAAAACAAAATTTCATAACAGTATACCTACGAATTGTATGCAACAATATATTGTCAAAATGTGTATGTCAAAGGATTTTTTTAATCCATTTCTTTTCATCATATTCAGATAGACAGATAGATAGATAGATATATTTTTGTTTGACTTCATTTTTGCTTGAATTCTTTGTGTTTATGTCAATGTCACATTTAAAAAAATTTATATCTTACAAGTTTACCAAGAAATGTCTCATTGTATTTTCAAAAAGCCTATAATGTATCCAATATTTAATTCATTAAATATTATCAGAAACGTCTCGGTTTGACTTACGTTCGCATTTTGTTCCTGTTACTGCAAATCCAGTTTTACATTCACATTTACCGTTAGTCGTATCACATTGACTGTTATCATCAACACTACAGTCATCGTTATTAGTACACACTACCGATGTGATACTTGATACTAAACACAAAAAGATTAAAACAAAATTTCATAACAGTATACCTACGAATTGTATGCAAAAATATATTTTCAAAATGTGTATGTCAAAGGATTTTTTTAATCCATTTCTTTTCAAATTCAGATAGATAGATAGACATATAGATTTTTGTTTGACGTCATTTTTGCATTAATTCTTTGTGTTTATGTCAAATCTGTTTCAAATAAAGCATGTCACCTTTAAAAAATTTATATCTTACAAGTTTACCAAGAAATGTCTCATTGTATTTTCAAAAAGCCTATAACGTATCCAATATGTAATTCATTAAATATTATCAGAAACGTCTCGGTTTGACATACATTCGCATTTTGTTCCTGTTTCTGCAAATCCAGTTTTACATTCACATTTACCGTTAGTCGTATCACATTGACTGTTATGATCAACACTACAGTCATCGTTATTAGTACACACTACCGATGTGATACTTGATACTAAACACAAAAAGATTAAAACAAAATTTCATAACAGTATACCTACGAATTTTATGCAAAAATATTTTTTAGAAATGTGTATGTCAAAGGATTTTTTTAATCCATTTCTTTTCAAATTCAGATAGATAGATAGATAGATAGATAGATAGATTTTTGTTTG